GATCAAGGAGCTTGATATCAAATCAGAGACACAGCGTCTGATAGAAGAAAAAGTTGGCTACGATCTACATACTGTGGGGTCGGGCTCCAAATTCCTCAATAGGACACCCATAGCACAAAAGTTAATAACTAGAATCAACAAATGGGACTTACTCAAACTAAAAGGTTTTTTCTCAGTAAAAGAAACAATAAGAGAGGTAAATAGGGAGCCTACACCCTGGGAACAAATCTTTACTCCTCACACTTCAGATAGAGCCCTAATATCCAGAGTATACAAAGAACTCAAAAAATTAGACAATAAGAGAACAAAGAACCCAATCAACAAATGGGCCAAGGACCTGAACAGACACTTCTCAGAGGAGGACATACAATCAATCAACAAGTACATGAAAAAATGCTCACCATCTCTAGCAGTCAGAGAAATGCAAATCAAAACCACCCTAAGATACCATCTCACTCCAGTTAGATTGGCAGCCATTATGAAGTCAAACAACAACAAGTGCTGGCGAGGATGTGGGGAAAAGAGTACACTTGTACATTGCTGGTGGGACTGCAGATTGGTGCAGCCAATTTGGAAAGCAGTATGGAGATTTCTTGGAAAGCTGGGAATGGAGCCACCATTTGACCCAGCTATTCCCCTTCTTGGTCTATTCCCTAAAGACCTAAAAAGAGCATGCTACAGGGACACTGCTACATCGATGTTCATAGCAGCACAGTTCACAATAGCAAGACTGTGGAACCAATCTAGATGCCCTTCAGTAGACGAATGGATAAAAAAAATGTGGCATTTATACACAATGGAGTATTACTCTGCATTAAAAAATGACAAAATCATAGAATTTACAGGGAAATGGATGGCATTAGAGCAGATTATGCTAAGTGAAGCTAGCCAATCCCTAAAAAACAAATGCCAAATGTCTTCTTTGATATAAGGAGAGTAACTAAGATCAGAGTAGGGACGAAGAGCAGGAGAAGAAGATTAACATTTAACAGGGATGAGAGGTGGGAGGGAAAGGGAGAGAGAAGGGAAATTGCATGGAAATGGAAGGAGACCCTCAGGGTTATACAGTGGAGGGGGTAGAGAGAGAGGACGGGAGGGGAGGGGAGAGGTGGGGAGGGGGGAGGGTGGAGGATGGGAAAGGCAGCGGAGCACAACAGACACTAGTATGGCAATATGTAAATCAATGGATGTGTAACTGATGTGATTCTGCAATCTGTGTATGGGGTGAAGGTGGGAGTTCATAACCCACTTGAATCAAAGTGTGGAATATGATACGTCAAGAAATTTGTAATGTTTTGAACCACCCACAATAAAAAAATTAAAAAAAAAAAAAAAGAAATGTGGCAGAACTTTTCTCACCCTTCTTGGGTGCGAGGGTCGGTGTCTCGTGCATGGGTGTCTTGCTACAGCGCCATGGATGAAGCTACGCTCACCTGTTCCTTTGTAATATAAACCTTTGCCCTGTTTAGGATAGAATCTTCCATGGAAGTGCCTTGTGTGTGTCCCATTCTCTTACTGTGCCCTTGGGTGTGGCCTACTCAGATGTCAGTCAACGTGCTGACAGTGAACATCATGAAGATACTCAGTCCCCTGAAACCTGACCACTTGCCTCATTTAAATAACTTCTCCTAGATAAAAGGGGTCAGCATGTGCTCTCGCTCTCTCTCTTTCTGTAGACCCTTAAGGTCAGAGGAGCCGTCACAGCGACCCCAAAGAAAAAGATATTTGTGTCTCTTGTGTGGTTATTTCATGCAGCCCAGTTAGCCCAGTTTATCTGGAGTGACCCCTGAGCCTTTTAGTTGCGAGAACTGAAACCCGGCAAAGGACTCAATAATCTGATGCAATCTGTCAATCAAAAGTTAAGAGGTGGCACCTGGGTGGAACTCTCTAGAAATTTCCCTAAGACCCCAAGTAGACTAGGGAATAAAGGGAGAGCAATCTTGCTCTCCTCTTTGAGATGACTCACCCTTTCCCTTGAGGGTTTTTTCCTTTCTTTCCTAATAAAATTTGCTGTTGTAATACATTTCATGTCTTGCTTAAAATCTTCTCATAAGAACATAGTAGTCTAAAATCAAAATGTAATCTCCTGGATTCCCCAGAATACCACCAGTAACAATTCCATAAAATTTTGTTCCAAATCATAAAAATAAGGTAATGTATAAAACAATCTTGTCTATTGTGATTTCTTACACTAAAATATAGCAAGTTTCAGTAACAGAACTTTAACCAGAACTCTAAAACACACAGTATTTTCTGTTAAATATACAGCTAATATGAGATAAAAGAATTTTAAAAAAAGGTAGAAAGCAAACATAAAGAAAGTATAAGTAAATATAATCTTAAATTTTCATATGCTTTTCCAGGTCTGTCACCGCCACATTTCTAGGAAGTCTTAAATCTACCTTGTGCGTTGTTAACTAATGACCAATAAATAGTTAAGGCAGAGAAAAAGAGAGAGAGAGAGAGAGAGAGAGAGATGCATTTTGAGGAACCTGAAATTTAGGAGGCTTTACAGTGTTATCCATTGATCAGATAATGAAGGTCATGTCAGTCTAACAATTCTGAGAATGACCAAATTACTACAAACCACCTTAAGATAACTAAAAAGATACTATCCTTACAGACTTCCCCATAACCACACCTCACCAATTTTCTTTTAAGTGGAGAGTTGGGAACCCGAAAGTATACTTCTCACTTTCAAAGATGGCCTGATTTCTCTCTTAAATGTGTATTCTTTGCTTTCCTAAATAAATATCTGTCTATATTGACTGGCATGTGCTGCAGTTCTTCTCCAACACATAAGACAAGGATCCTTCTGGCCCTGAGTCAAGTTCCTCCATATCTCTGAGAAACCCTTGGACCCACTTCCAGAGATATCACTTCTGCTGTGACAAGATAGATTTGAACCAATGCCAAGTACAGCTGGATCCTTATTTCTCACAAAATTTTTTAAAATATATTTTAACAGGGAGTGATCTCAAAGGAAAAAATACACTGCAGTCTTCAAATTGGAATATGCATGCCCTGGGGTATACATGCCAGTTTTCTAAGGGATAAGGAGACTAGAATAATTTCCAAAGAATCAGTTTTCAGATCAACTTCCTAAAGGAGAAAAAAAATCCTCCAGTGGGGACTCTCCTTTCACATGGCAATTCACCAATTTTACAAATGAAAAAGTAAGGTTCCCAATCATCCAGAATCATAAAGCAAATTGCACTAGGGTTTAGATACCTCCAGAAAATATGAATGAAAAATATATATATATAAAATATACTTATATATAGTATACATATATATTATATATATGTATGTGTGTGTGTATATACAATCAAACTGGCTTCAATACGTCACCTTTTACAAAATGAAAAATGGATTTAAACAGTGCTCATTCAATATATCATCAAAATAATGCTTAATGAGAGACCTGTATGTGATTTGGGACCATAATTCAGGAATTTAAAGTACCAATGAAAACACTATAATACATTCCCACCATTTCTGTGTGAACTACAATATTTACATGTATAAAAATAAAATCTTCAAATAAAACTCAAACAGAACTGATGCTGAACTCTATCTTATCCAGCAATAAGTAATATTTATCCAGGGAATCTGAATTCATTTTTTTTAAAGTATCATCTATTTCATTAAGAAAATATTAACTGATGGAGATCTGGCTCAGTGGTAGAGAGTTTGCCTAGCATGTGTGAGGCTCTGGGTTCAATCCCCAGCATCACAAAAGGAAAAAAAAGAAAAAAAAAAAAAGGAAGAAGAAGATAATAAATGTGGACTTGCTGATCAGTATTTATAAACTGTGTATCACTTTTGCACTAGTAATAATAGTAATGATGAAGTCATTTCAAAAGAACTTATTGATTTGGCCCATACTTGCCACATGTGGCTATGAGCACTTGAAATGTAGTTAGTTCAAACAGAAATGTGCTCTCTGTAAAATAACCAATTTCAAAGACTTGTAAAAAATAAGAATGCAAAATGCCTCAGTAAACATTTTTATTTTGATCATATGTTGATATACAACTTTGAATAACATTCAATTAATTTCACCTGTTTCTATATTTTCCTGATGACTATTCAAATATTTTAATATGTATTCCATAATTGTTATGGTTTGGATATGTGGTATTCCCCCTAAACTCTTGTATAAATAGAAGAAAATTCAGATGTGAAATGAGTAGTTATGAGAACCTTTAATCAGTGCATGAATCCACTTGGGAGGATTTAACTGGGTGGTGACTATATACATGTAGGGTATGGCTAGAGGATGTAGACCACTGGGGGTATGCCTTCAGGGTATATATTTGGTTCCTGGTGAGTGGAGCTCTCTCTGCTTCTGGATTATTATGCCCTAAACTGTTTTTCTCCTTTACATCCTTTTACCTTGATATTCTGCCTCATCTTGGTCACAGAGCAATAAAATTGGAAGTCCATGAACTGAGACCTCTGAAACTGTGTGCACCAAATAAACTTTTCCCTCTCTAAAAGTGTTCTTGTCAGATCTTTTGGTCATAGCAGTAAAAAAGCTGACTAAAAAAAAATATTATATTTCTGTTGGACAGGTACAGTAAAATAATTTTAAATGTACATGTTTTGTTGCAGAAATGTATGAAGTGATTTTAATACAAGATTTTCAAGTACAGTAGTAGAGCACCTACTTAGCACACACACAAAAAAAGAAAAAGTAAACAACAAAATTTTAAAAAGCCTGTGTCACTGGCTAATAGCACTCATATTCATATCTGGTAGATTTGTGTTCAAAAAATGTTAAAATTTTGTTTCCAATTATCTGTTAGGGTTAGGAAGCTGGAAAAAGTGTTATTTACACTGCATCATTCAGCTAATGTTTCCAGTCTTGTCCACAGTGCTTTTCAAGTTTCTTAAGTTTGCAAACTCAATCTTACATTTCTTCCCATATACTTTCAAAGAATTTTTAACATACAGATATGAAACAATTGTTAATCGAGGAAATAAAAGCACACTACCTGGCCAAGCACATTGTAGCAGTGCTAATGATTTGCCTCCAGGAGCAGCACATAGATCTAGAGCCTTCTCCCCATTCCGTAATTCCAGAGCTAGTACTGGGAGAAGAGAAGCAGCATTCAGGAGATAGTATTTTTTCAGGTTACCAAACTGGTGTCTTTCTGAAGGCAAACGGTCTGTAGTTCTGCTGAGGTAACACTTTAGTGATTTAGGACAGTAGGGTAAAGATCCTTGAAAGAGTTGGTGATAGCCCTTCAAATATAAATCCATTTCCAGTTCAAAAGGATAATTGAATCGGTTGAGGAGGACAGCATATTGCCACAATGATGGAGATATCAATACATCCCTAGAAACAGAAAACAAAAGAAACACATTAATACCATTTTATATTATCAATGGGGTGACCATTGTTCTAAGTTTATACTTATCTCTGATTTTCAGAGACAGGATCAGTCTGACTTTTCCTTTTGCCTCATAAAGACCTGATATGATTCCATCAGCTCATGTTATGAACCTATCTTTATTTAAAGTTTTTATTTTTACTGTAGCTTTTTTTTTTAAATTAATTTTGACCATTAAAATACAATACTGAGTTTTCTGTGCCCCCCCCCCCCTTAAGTTCTACACAAGGGAAGTATAGTTTTAACTTTCCCTACAGAATAACTTGCCAAAAAATATGGCCTGCCTTTACAGGCAATGATAGTCAAAATTCTAATTTGCCTTTAGTCAAAATAGATTTTTGACTATCACTACGTGCACAAGAAAGTGTTTCACTTAGAGACAAAATTTAAAACAAGACTGTTAATATTGAAGGGAAAGGTACCATCATAAAAATATGTTTGAAGAAATTAGTATTAAAGTTTTATATGATTAGGATAAAAGATGTGAAAAGCTAATTACAGTGAACTCTACAGGAATGGAGTTAATGAGGTGATGAGTGGCTCAGAAGATTCAGATCCAAAGATGATTTAAAATTCACTCACAGACTGATAGCTCAGTAACCTGCTGACACCATGCTCAAAGAGGAGTCTATGTTCCATGGAATTAATTTATTGGTTCAAACAGCCCCAGGTTCAAATGCAGCTGTTTGGAGGTGGAAAAGATATCAGTGTGAATAAATAGCCTTGAAGCACTAAATGCGGGGAGGAGGAAGAAATACTGAGCAAGTTGATAAGCCTCCAATTAGGCTATTTTCCCCACAGCTATACTTGTTTACCTTGAAGTTTTTTCTCACAATAAATCCCTTTGATGTTCTTGCCTATAAAATAAAGCACAGAGGCTCTCAATCATTGTTAGAGGTCAGAACCTACCATAACTGACTTGCCCACTGAGTCCCGCTATCTACTTATAATTGAGTCTTTTCTTTATTTCTTGTATTTCTTATTTTTAATCCCTTCATAGCCCACATTTGGGAAAACTGAGTAAGTTATACAGGTTGTGTTCATTTAAAATTCATACACTAACTCTTCTTTAACAGGCACAAGTTTTATATTCTTATTTTTCCTTTTATTTACATTCTACTTCTCCATGTAACTTTATCCTAATATATTTTTATGCATGAAAACATTTTTTTTTGTCTTAAATCATCTTATCATACTTTTTTGGAACACACAGACACATATATATTAAATTTCTCTGTGGTATTCAAATAACTTTGGGATTCAGCTGTCAAAAATATTATTAGTATAAAATCGGCCAAAAATAACTTATAATTTTGATACTTATTAAACATAAGAAGTAAAAATTAATAGGAACTATAATGAAATGAGCTTTTGTTTTCATATACCTATAGACGAATATTACTTCTTGCTAGGATAAGTCAGAGTTCAATATTAATTTTATTCTTATTTTGTATTCTTATAAGAGTTGAGAAAAACCTTCACTTATATAAGTACATGAGAATTAAATATTTTGCTATAGCAATGTCTCCCACTTTGAATTCTTCCTGAGTTATATCCCCAAATCACTTAGTGATCCATCATCAAAAATATTTTATATGAATCATTAGCTGACAACTGAACTGGGACTCCTTTACTTTTGTTGAAAGCAAAACTTTGAAACTACCTGATTTGTCGAAAAATTTGCCACTAACTTTCTAAAAACATGACATGGAGGTGTCTTTTGTTGTTTATTTTTTGTGATGCTGGAGATGGAACCCAAGATCTTGCACATGGTAGGCAAACATACTACCATTGAGCAACATCCCCAGTCCCATCATGGAGGTTTGGTGTCCTGGAGAAATGCAATATAAAAGTCAGAATGGTGAAAGTGTGTTTTTCTTTGTGAAAATGAGGAAAGGAGAATTGTAGAAAGGCAAGCTGACAAAGGAGAATACCTGCTTAAGTAAAGAGGGGAGGTGAGCAATTTTCTGAAAGGATACACATGGAAACTGGCAATTTGGAAGCTGTCTGCTACAACTTGCTCATTCCTGCAGACCCTTGCAAAAGTCTGGATCAGGCTTCACTGCTAGTTTTACCTCCAATGTGGTAAGTCAGTATTTTCTTCTTGCTAACAAACATTAATTTTCTAAATACACAGTGTGCATCAATGATATGCTAGGCACATCTGTTTACTGATGATGATATAAAATTAGCTTATGTTTGAATTTCTAAGGAACAAAAGAAAATGTTAAGTAAAGATAACTAAAAGACAAATATTATAAGTAAAACTATGGCACAAGAGTTACTGATCTTTGAGAAAGACAATGAAATTATACTAAGGCCTTTTAGCCCAAGTCACACTGCCTGATTAACTACTTCCCCAGCTGGTTTATATGGGGACCACAACATTATTTTCTCTGTCTCCCTGACTAAATGTCCAGTGCCTAACCCCTGAGTCAATTTACAGAATTAGAATTTTATACATGGACCACTCAACTAATTGCTTTTGTTATTACTGGTGTTGGGAATTTTACATAGGGCCTCATGGATGTGAAGTATGTGCTCTATCTACACATGAAGCATAATTTTTATTTTAACAAAAGTCAAACATTTAAAAAATTAAATCTGTTAGGTTAAAATCTTGAAAATTGTATATTTGGACAATGCTTAGTATTTGATAGTATGATTTTTCATTTAACTTTTCTGTGACATTATACTTTTCTTTTATTCTCCACTCAAACTTTCTAATTTAAAATGAGAACAAGAATTTTATCTAGAAATGGCTAAGAACAATTGGCATAACCCTATAGATTTCAGAAAAAAATTTAAATTTCCATTGTTAAAAAATAGAAATTCCTCATTTCAGTGCTATTATTATCCACTAGAGGGTGCTCCAGATCATTTTAAATGTGTGGTCAGAAAATAAATTAATTTATGGAAATGCATCAAAGTATATTTAATTTTTATTCTACAGAAATTCTAATAATGAGGGCTGGGGTGGTGACTCAGTGGCAGAGCGCTTGCCTTGCACATGTGAGGCACTAGGTTTGATCCTAGCACCACATTAAAAACAAATAAACAAAATAAAGCTATTGTGTCCATGTATAGCTAAAAAAATATTTTAAAAAAAAGAAATTCTAATAATGAATTGATGACGCTATTTTTATTTGGTGAGGTTTCTTCCTTATTTCTCATACAAGGGAAATTTATGGCACTTTTGTTATCCATAGTACCTCAGAAAGGAAATTATGGGTGAGGATTTGTATTTCCAGTGAAGATGACAAAAGTCTAAAAATACTGGCTATAACGAGTCCCCCATATAACTGAAATGCATACATTTCCAAGGATGAGACCCCAAACCCTTCATCGTAGCACAAATGGTAGAAGAAAAAACATGGGATTATTAAGTCACAGGTCTGGATCTGTCCTAAGTGTGAAACATCCAGCAATGAATTGTTTTAACTTCTGAATTTAAAAGGGGCTAAAAATTACTGTAAGGATTTGAAAAAATTAAGGTTGAAAGTAGATGTAAAACTAAGCTAGAACAAAATAGAAATCTGAATAATAGTTGTTTTCTCTCTTCCTTAACCATCCACCCTCTATAACCTCTTCACAAATTCTGGTGATATTAACTAGGTATATAATTTCCCCTTCCTTTTATATGTGAACTATGAGTCACTGATACCAGAGTGAAATGTTTGGGCTTTTTTAAATTTTCAATAAAATGCACATAAAACTTTCAAAGTTCATAAAGATTTCCAATTAATCCTTCCCTCATAAGTCTATTTGGGGGCAGAATATATATACAGTGCATTTATGTATCATAACTGCACAGCAGTGCTTGGGGCATAAATAAATCCTCACTAAATTGTGAATAAGTGACTGCTTGTCCAAGATATTGTTTTTTCCTTGTCATGGAAAAAATATACAAATTAGAAAACTTTTAACAATATAAAGTATTGTCAGTTAAAAAATATCAAGTTAAATGCAATGAAAACACAAAGGGGAAAGATTGATGAAATTGTTAATAAAATAAAATAATGCTAATATATATTGAGAGCTTATTAGATGTCATTCAATATTCTGAGAATTTTGTTCATGTGTGTGCATAAATTTCCTGTCTCAAGTGACTATATGAAATAGATACTGTTTTTTCATGTTTTCCAAAAGAAAACAGTGAAATATAGAGATGTTTTATAACTTACCTGAGGTCAAGTGCTACAAGATGCTGAAATGGGATGTGAATACACATTCTTAACCAGAGGGAAAAGGAAGGGCATTCCTACTAGAAGGAACCAGTACCAAAATCATGAAGGAGTCTCCTTATGCTCCTTGGATGTGAAAAAATTTTTGGTTCAAATGTAACATTACAGCGAGAGAGGAAGCAAAGGTGTGTACCTTGGGAGTGATAAAATATAATATGGCAATACTGAGAAGCAGCATGGCAGAGTGAAAAACTCTGAATCGTGTATTCTTCAGCAAGTTATTTAACTTCTGTATGCCTCATCTTTCCTATCTATAAATGGAAAGAACTACCTTAAGATTGTAAAATGGAAAGAACTACCTTAAGAGTGAAATTATTTCTAAAGTGCCATAAAAGTGGTTGCTAAAATAAGAAGGTGGGAGACTCAGCTATAATATGCCAGGTAAAAAATCTGATGAAGGCCTGATTAAATAGAAGCTGTAGAGTTGAAAAGGATGTCCAAATTAAGAAATTTCTCAGGAGGAAGCAGCAACCTTTGGTAACTATTTTAGATTTTGACAGAGAAGGGTAATGGTGTTTGGCAGTACATAGTTACGGAGTCACCAAGACCACTCTCATTTCTGACACAAACTGTAATTTCAGGGATCCCCAAGACCATTCTCAAGTTTGTTTATTCATTAGAAGAGCATATAGAACTCAATGGAAGCTTTTAAACTCATAGTTACCATCTTTTACTGAAAAAGTATATAGATTAAAATCAGTTATAGGAAAAGATTGATGGTACAGAGTCCACAAAAGTTCAAAGCATGAAACTTCTAGTTATCCTCTGCACTGGAAACAATGAAAAGGCTAACTTTTTTCCTGGCAACAATGTGTAACAATATGCACAGAAATACTTCCAAACAGAGATGCTCATCTAAGCCCTTATATCAATTTCTGATGTTGTTTTGTTTTCTACTGCCTATTAAATTTGTGTGTGTGTGTGTGTGTGTGTGTGAGTGAGTGAGTGAATGGTGCTGGGGATAGAACTCAGGGTCTTACGCATGCCAGGTAAGCACTCTACCACTAAGCCACATCCCCAGCCCTGGTGTTCAGTTTTAATTAAAGCATAGCTGACTGCTCATACTGCTTTCAGTCTCCAGCTCCTCTGGAGGCTGAGCTTACACTGTGGTCTGTACTCCTATAAATTACATTGTTAAGACTATTAAGTATGGCCAAAGATTCTAGCTAAACAAAGATATTCTTCACAGATACATTTCGAGAACTTAGAGATTATCTCCCCAGAGCTGTGGAAATGCCAGACTTGCTTTTGAGTAAGGTTCACTATTTACTACAAAGGTACTGAAGGTGTAGAGGAAAAAGGAGGTACCTGGACTGAAAGTAATGTCTTCAACTGAGATAGAATATGCAAGTAACAAAGATAACACAGGTTTAGAAGAGAAAAATAACATGCTTTTGAGTTTGCTGAATATGACAACTTAGTTGCTAGAAAACACTTAGAAGAATGAGGCTAAATCTTGGAAAGAATTGCATAGTTTGAGATGATACCACATTGATTAAAATCTACACTCATGTCCCGAATAGACTTCCTTGAAAGAGAATATGCAGGCAACATAGAGAGCAAAAACTGAACCAGGGTAAACTTCAGATTTAAAGAACTTCTCAGAGGGACTTGGCAGGAAAGGTCATTACAAACCAGTAAAATTAAATACTAAATCTTTACCACTATTATAGGAAACTAAAGATATTGTGTAAATTACTTTCTAGATAGGAAAAAAAAGCATTCCACTTCCCCCTGGATATAAATAGACTACAAGAACAATATTATTTCTTGCAAATAAACAATTAAACAAAAATATGTGATTCTCTTCTTATTCCCTGTGCTATCTTCCATGTTCAAACTACTTTCTGAGAAAACCTTTATTTTGTCTACTGCAAATTTAGCACGTTTATGCAAAACTTAACTTACCATGAAAACTGAACAAAAAGGTAGATGAAGCAGAAGGCACAGCTAATTAAATGTGTTTGTGGTTCATTGCTCATGTTGTTTAGGGTCAAATAATAATTTATAAGTCTGTCTGAACACACTAAAGAGAAAAATAACTCATTATAAGGAACGAGTAGCCAGATTACTAAAAGTCGGCCAACAGAAGACTTCTAAAAATCTTTTTTTTTTTTTTTAATCATCTAAGTATGCCTATTACATCCCAGGTATGAAATGCAGACTAAAGGTTAGCAGGGGGAAGTCTTGAGTCCGAGAACCTCAGCACAAATCCCAATTCTGCTACTTAAACTGAATGAATTGGAACATGTTATTTAAACTCTGCAGTACCATCAGATGAAGAATGAAAAACAAATCTCATAGGTTTAAGGATCACTTACGTCAGTATTGTCTGGCATATAATAAGCATGCAAGATGTCTGCATATTCCATGTGATTACCTTTGTATACCAGAAGCCTAATGAATTGATTATAATCGTCACTGGTCATTTTTTAATCTCGGAAATACACATTTTGAAATCCAGTTTTGAAATAAAAACAAATATATACATTTTCATATTATACTGATTCCTAAATAGCTTAATTTGTTTAAAACTTATATTAGAATGCCAGATTATTATCTCATTAGCCATGACTTAATCTTTGTTTAAAAAAAATGATTAAAGCTGTCCTTTGTAAAGAAGATATACTTATTAATTCAAGAAAAGGTGAAATAAGACAACATGAGAAATCACTGCCTGAATCAAGTTCCAGATACTATCCACAGTCTTGAATAATAATATTTTTGCCTTTTTCCCCTCAGCTGAAAATGTCTGGTTCCTTAATCCAAAGTAATTCGTCCAAGATACCAAGACTTGGCATTTTCTCAGGCTTTCACTGGCACTCTCAGGCTTTGAAAGGTAAAACAGGGTACTCCTGTCTATTTTTATTATGATACTTACCAATTAGCAGTGTACATAGCTATAACCATGCCTCTCACCTCATTCCCCCTAAGAACACTAGGTTACATGCAAATGGAACATAATGACTATCTTACTCTTCGTATTCCTGGGGCATTAAATATACAGTATGAGGCACTCAGAATCAACCCATAGAACAACATCCTGGTCAACAGCAAAGCTCACCAAAGATATAAACCAATTTTTCTCATTTCCTTTTATGCATTAAATGTTTGCTTTTATAATACATTTAAAGAATTTTTATTTATATATGCACATGTGTATGTATGTTCAAAACAGAGCTAACCATAGACGTAACAGGGAAGAAATAAAACTACTGAATAAATTGACTTTTCCTGAGATAAAGCAGTGTTGACTTCAAAGTTTTAACGTTCTTATGTTACAGTATAACTAATTTTGTAGGTAGTCCTATTTCCTGGATCAATTCAATTGTTCAAGATATAGGCATATTAATTTTTACTATTGCTACAAAATTTTTTTTTCACTGCTTTTCATTATCTATTTCCTCTTGGTTCTTCCTTTCTATGTCCCAGTAGGAGAGTGCAACCAGGTTTAAATTTCTTTATCTTTTATTCTCACTGCATCCCTCACCCAAAAAGGTATACTGCATATTTTACTTCCACTGCTCAATCATAAAGTATCAAGAGATGAATTATACTAACCTCACTGTATTCCAGGAATCTTCAAGTTCTTTGGAATACTGCTTTTCAAAATGATCCAACACAACTTTGCAAATCTGTTTTGCAAGCTTCCCCTCTGATTTTCCTTTCAACTACGACAAGAAAAAGGTGCTGACACATATTAAAGATACTACAAATTTATTAAACCTCGATATTAACACAATCTTTTTTACTGTCTAAAAATAAGAACACTTTATCTTTAGATAATTATTAGTTCTTGTAGGGGGAGCAATATATGAGTTATAACAATATATGAGTTGTAAACCGTGTTACTGATAAATTTACCTATTTATGCTAAAGGAGTGTTTCCCCAAGTAATTGTAATCCAATCATGAAGCAAATGTTAAAGCAGAATCTAATTGTGCTAAACAAATTATGTCTAAAGGACAAAATTAGTTTTTAAAAGCCATCACAGATGTTAGCATCAAGGGGAACTTCGTGAAAGGTACATAAAAACTCTGTACTCATTGCAATTTTCCCGTACACTTAGAATTAATCCAAAATAAGAAAATGTCCCTTTTGTTTTTTTCTGGAAACTCAGCAGTTGTTTCGTTTATTCGTAGAGGGCCAAGTAAAATGTAACACTGTCTAGGCGTCCGGATACAGCAGTAACATAGAAGACAGTTTCAGCACTATAGGAGCTTACATTATGCTGGGAACTTGACGTGAGCAAGTATTAAAAGTCTGCAGATTACTCGGAAGGGACGTCCTCTCCGAGGACCTTGGGAGCGAACAGGAATGTGTAAGTGCAAAAGTCACGCACTGAACATTACCAGGATTCTAGACAAGGAACCAAAAAACCCGAATATCGCCAAGGGACAGCCAAAGGTGAAGTTCCCACATCCCGGCCCCCTCCCTCGCCTCCTTGGTAGTGTACAGTCTGGTTCAGCCAGAGGCGCCCAGCAGGGCTCAAGGGCCTCACCCGAGTCAGCATTATCCTGCAGGGAGTTTACAGAAAAGAGTCAGCAACACTCCACATGAAAAAGCTTCCAGCCAACTGAAAAAACAGCCGGATTTCCGGTTAGCCAAAACCCTTAATGTCCTCACGTTTCCCGTTTAAATTCTCGCGATATTACACAGATCGCCTGCACTTTCAAAATCTCGCAACAATGTTAGCTCCCGCGAGAGGCATACCTGAAATCGCTCTGCGCTTGGTTGGCTGGGGCGGGGAAGAGTTCTGCACTGACGCCCAGGGGCGTGACCCGGTCGTGGGAGAGACGTTGGGCGACTGGTGTTTAGGAAGTAGTTCATCCTGCTAAACTGTCTTTGTGGGTGGGCTCCATAAAGGCTGAATCTCTGTCACTATTGGGTTATGTTTTGTAAACACTTTTATCCTTAGGGGCGAAGCTAGCTACTGAATTAAATTTGATGACTCCTTTAAGTCGTGAAATAGTTTTTTCCCAGGATGACCTATGCGAATAATCTCTCCATTTTAGAAAAGAACATGTAAAAAGATTAAATTGAAATACGCGTATAAGGCGCTTAGCACAGAGACTGGTCGACATAAATGCCCACGTGTTCGGTGCTGTTCTGTATTAGTACCACTATCATGATCATTGTGGTTATCTTGTTCTGATATCAAATGCCTGAGGGCAAAGTGATCCTCCATGCAAGACTCCCCACTCATTTTTACAAGAATGGAGTTTACAAGTAAGGTGTTATTACACCCATTCTGATAGAAATAGCAGTTTATTTACTCCATTGGTGTACACTTTCATTATTCTCTTGTAGCAACAATCAGCAATTTATCAGGGAGAAAATAGTGTGGTCTCTGATATTTAATAAGAATTATTATTTTGAGTATAAGCAGTAAGTCCGTTAGTACAACTAATGCAATTTGAAGCTTAATATATTTAAATTTATATTACATATATTAAATAATATATTTAAACAAGTTTCCCAGCAATCTAAAAATACATCTATTAGAATTTAGGTTTGGTAAAACATGGTTTTCAGAAGTTAATACCCTTTATTGGATGTTTGGGGGAGTCACATCTACCTTTCAGTCTACTTGCAGAGATTTCACATTATTTTTCTATATTCTTTCAGAATGTTACAACTAATGAATTAATACATGAGTATTATATTTGAAATGTAGAAATATAAAAGATTTAAGATAATAAGAATTGAATATGCTGTATATCTATTAGGGAAACATTGATATACCTGGAAAGAGGACATTCTATCATTTTGTGACAGCATGGTTCTATTTTCTGAGTTTAAAATGAACATTTTTTTTCTCTTAATTTTTTTTCTGCACTTCTGATAATCCAATTTATAAGTGTGTATTTAGTTTGGATATGTTTTCAAATCTTATTAGCTATTTTTTAAAATTACCTGCTCATGCTCATTTATCTGTTTTAATATTACATTTATATTAGTGATGTTAACCATGTCACCTGTGACCAGTGCTAGAGAAATGAGCAAGTTGTAGGAATCTTCAACTTCTAAGTAAGTACTTTTCTAATTTTTCTTAAAAGTATTTAACTTTAGCCGGGCGCAGTGGTCCATGCCTGTAATCCCTGTGGCTCAGAAGATTAAGACAGGAGAATCAAGAGTTCAAAGAGAGCCTCAGCAGAAAGCAAGGTGCTAAACAACTAAGTGAGACTCTGTCTCTACAAAAAATATGACTGGGGATGTGGCTCAGTGGTTGAATGCCCCTGAGTTCAACCCCCAGTACACCCTACAATAATTTAAATATGAAATAACTTTAAATTTTTATGCAGTAGCCATTGTTTGTTATTGATTCAATTACAAAGATATAAATTTCTTCCCAGAGAAGGAAGCCAATTCTGTTTCATCCACCCTCTATTTATAGTTTGATCTTTAATATTAAAGTCCCTTTCCAAGACCCAATATTATGTATGGTAAATGAAATGTTAATTCATTTACCTTCCACTTCAAATAGCTATTGAATAATAAACAAAATTCCACATTGACTAATAGAAACTACTAGAAAAAGACTTGTTTTAAGTCACTAAAAACACACGAGGAAATTGAGCTGAAAAAATACCAGAAATTACATTTTTTTTAAATTAATGATACTGTTAGATAACTAATCCATATTATTTGTAAGGACTTAACTCTAGGCAGGAAAATAACTTTTATCTAACTAAGCATTTTTTATCATTAAGTCAATTTCTGAATAAGTACACTTTTTGGACTATCTCCTACTGGCTGCTTTATGAATTTTCATGTTTACATAAAACATGTCTCAATCCTTCCTATTAATATAGAGGTGAGGACAGGCACTATAGTAAAACAATCTGACATTAAGAAAACCCTTAGCTACTTAAAATGTAAGGCAGAAAAACACAGAGATGCCTGTGACCAATGCTAAAGAGCATAATTATAGGAATCTTCCATGTCTACTGAAGATTCTTATTAGTTTAGGACTCCAAAGTGGTGTGTATAAACTCTAGCAGGCAATCCACTGCAACTGGAGTGTAAATATAATGACTTCTCTTTTTATTAAGTTTTATCTAATATTTCTAATTTCCTTTTTGAGGGGTATATAGTATATAAATAAAATGCATTTTTAAATAGTGCATCAGAAATGTATGTAACTGATAAAGGTTGGAATATGTATCCTCAAAATTTATGTTGAAGCTCTAATCCCTGATATTTTGGAATGTAACTGTATTTGGAGATGAGGCCTTTTAAAAGATGATTAAGTGAAAATGAGGTTGGAAGGCTGAATCCTAATTCCATCTTACTGGTGTTACAAAAAGAGAAAAATTGGACAAACTGAGAGACACTAGGGGCAAGAGTACTGAGAAAAGGCCATGTGAGGACACAGCAAGTTGGCTGTTACCTTAAAGGCAGGCAAGAGGCCTTAGGAAAAAGGAAACTTGTCCACAACATGGACCTTGATCTCCCTACTCCAGAACAGTAAGAAAATAAATTTATTTTGTTTAAGAGGTCACACTGTGTGTGGTACTTCTGGCAGCCCTAGCAAACTAATATGACTGAAACATAAAGGCACATTAAAAATGTATAGGATGCTATTATATAAGTTTTAAGACCACTGATTCACTTCTTAAATTCTGTTTCCTCATCAGTGAACAAAAGGAATTTACAATCTAAGCCATAAGGAAGCAAATGATTATTTTTCCAATTTTTTCTTTAAATAAAATCAGATCTGTTTATTTAAAGGAAATTCATTTTTTTACTTCCTATGTTTTAAATGAGATTTTATTATTTGGTTTCTAAAAAATTAAAGAATAATTGCTGTTTTAATAACCTATGCCATATTCTAATCTAGGTTTTGAGATATCAGAATTTGTTCTTTGGATCAGCTGGACTGTATTTCCCAAAAACTTAAATAATCAATATTAAGACAAGAGTGATAAAATTTATAATGTACATATTTATTTATAAAAGCAGTTTTACTTTTGAAAAGATTTTGCCACCTGGAATCATGGATTTAATTGGAATGAGTATACCATGAGTAGCGTGGCATATCAAATAGTACCAAATCAAAATGTTGTCATAGTAAGGGAACATTTAGTAAAAGCAGCTGCAAATATAAAGGTGTTTTAAACAGGTGATCTTTTCTAGGCTATGTGCAAGGAATTTAACATATTAAGTAAATTCTGGAATTTCATTTGTTGTTTAAAAGAGCATTTGATTTTCAACTAGAAGAAAACATGGCAGTTAAATAATTTATACAAAATTATAAATTTGCTTCCATTATAAAAATAAAATTACCAAAATCATTAAAAAGTTTAAGGAAAACATTCTACCAATAACTCTAAAAAATTACTTCACTACTTTGTTTTAGCAACATTGTTTCTCTAATGCAGTTTCTATCCATAGCTTGACACTTGGCATCAATTATATGTAATATAAAATATTCCATATACATATGGAATTTCCAAGAAAAGCACATGGAATTATTTTAAATAAGTAAAATTATATCTGTGGGCTAGTAGCTGGAACCAAAGACACTGAATAATCTAGAATCATACGGTGCTTTGATTCTTTATTTAGCTGCTTTTAAAAATAACATTAGATCTCAAATATATAAAAACTTGTAGAGAAAAATGTTTTCGTGTAAAATAACAAAGTCCATTATTTTAATCTACTGATTTAAACTTTTTCAATAATCATATTTGAAAAACATTTACTTATTTTATTATCCAAAAAAATCACTTATATTCACCAAAATCAAGAGAAAACAGAATATAAATTAATTTTATTGGGTGAAAATGTCATAATTAATGGTGATTTAAGAATAAAAATGCAGCATATAACAAAATAGCATTTAATTATTAAAATCCACCTGGATTTACAAAACATCTTTTAAAGTATTTTAGAATGCTTTAAGAAAACTAACTTTTGAAGGAGCTATATGAAATATTAATTCCATTTTATGCTACTTTAATCTTAAAATCATTTTTAGTTTTACAAAATGGAGTCAGCAATTACTGTATTCTACCAGTAAACATTGGTAGGATAAAAATTTTAAAAATCTATCTTTACTCTCAAATAAATGAATATTAAAAATATAGCAAAAGTTTGAGTTTAGCTTTAAAAATGAATAAAAGTAAATGTTACAAAAGGAACAAAAATGTAAGCAATTTTTTCCTATAAAATTAATTTCAAAATTTACATGCTGTCTTACTGTGATGCTTTTCCTCATATTTTAGTCACCTATCAAATTCAGATTGTTATGAATTTTATATCTGAAGTAGAATGCTTTTTTCTTATTCAGGTGCTAGGTAGATCCATGTACCAACTCCAAGAATCTGTGCCATGCTGATGCATTCTGATTAATAAGTGACCATAATAAAAGTTCAGTGAAGTTAAAAATGTGAATAAAATGTGATGCTTCAAAGCAAAATTCTTAAAGTAAATAGTTATATTAAACTGACTTAGGCATACTTATTTATGTTGTTATTAGATACCAGTATATGTCTGTTGTCAGTACAGGTACCAAACCCAATAGTCTTAACTAGGTTGTATTGAAATTATTATTTATGTTATTTTCACCTTAATATAAAGGCATGCTTTCAGTTAAGTGAAAATTAGGACTCCTTTACTGAAAATACATATCTAACAGTTTGTCTAAATGACAGACAGAATCCTATGAGTGCAAGAGAAGTAAATTTTAAATTGAGAAATATTTTGGAATCATTTCTTTACAATAGTATTTGAGCCAACATTTTAATTTGTATTGCTTTAACACCCAAGTTATTTGTTGTTAAATATAAGTCTCTGTAACTACAGTAGCTTCTTTCAGTTTTTTGCCTCTAATTTCAAGGGATGAAAGAATTGTAATACCCTAAAAGATTCATGTGGCTTCTGACAGAACAGTCCTAACAGGGATCACACCTTGATCTCTGAAAGTGTCCTGACCTTTAAAACAGGGTTTTCTTGGGACTTTTAATAATATCTCATAGAACATTTTTATTACTTAAAAAAATAGGTTAATAAAGATATTTTATGTCTCATTTATTGAGATTATCATCAAAGAACACAAAAACAATAAAATAGAACACTTTCGTTGAATAATGCTTTCAAATCACATAATTTGGTAGAATAAAGATTTGATATCTGCTTTTTAAAAAGGTAGGTATTATTTTAAAATAAAGTCAAATTAGGATTTATAGGCTAGAAAAATGCTATTACAAAAATTTAAGTCATATAAATATATTGTTTGTATAGTTCATGTCTGTCAAGTAATTTAACTTTTATCTTCCACAAACAAATTTTAAAAATCTGTAGAAAAGTGCACAATCAAGATAATAGTAATTAAACAAAAATTTTAGAAAAATACAAAAAGTTAAAAATTTAGTTTATAAATTCCCAGGAGTTTCCCTTCCATGCCCATGTATCTTACAAAAATGTTTAATATATAGAAATACGGACTATTAAACAAATAATAAAGTATGTAGAGTCCATTGGCTCTATTTCTGAAGAAGTTTTCCTTCAGGAATTTGCCCATGAGTGAGGATATAAAACCCAAGGAGTCAACACTAAATCTTGTTAACATGCTCCAAATGTTGTTCATCCCATCCACTGGTCATTTTGCATGAAGAATATGGAGAAGTTAATTATCAGATCAGGTCCTTGGGCTATTAATCTCCTCACTAAAATCATTATGATTTTATTGCCCCAGTCATCAATGCTCAAAGGATTTTTTTTTTCTTCTGAGAAGAGGTCCATTTCACTTTGCTGAGAGTAAGAGTACCAATCCATATGACATGGTTATGAGATCACATCATGAGCATCACCGTTAGGTCTCTGTCGCACAGTTAACGGAGGCAGCGGCTTCCCATAGAAATCTACATAAAGAAGGGTAACCACGGACACAAAACAGTTATAATCATCAGTTTTTGACACAGTTCATCATTTTTCAATGAATTCATTTTAAAAAACAAGACACACTGACTTGTCAAGTGAGGTGATAGATGGGAAGGCAGAGAAAAAAAAAAGCAAAACAAAACAAAACCCAGAATGTATAAAAAAACAGAATAAATTCAAAACATAACAACCAGGGTAACTTCTAATAGACTTAGTAAAAACCTGCACTAAATGGTTACATTTATTATTATTTTTCTTTCCAATTACACATCCACATAAGAACAGAACAAACATAAAAAATTCAAAATCTATAGAACCTGCTAGTAAGAGCCTGGTAAATTAGCATCTGTACACATGTTCTTATCCAGAGACTGTTATTTCTATGTAATTTAGGAGAATCAAATTGAACTCTTTTATAATAATACTTCAATACAATTCAGTGATTTGGTGCATATTTTACACAAAAAAATGTGCCCTTCATAAATTTCAATTCCTTAATTATAATAATTGGCTTATAAATTTAATGGCATATATAACTCTCAGTTAAGTTCTTTCTGGCCTATTAACTTTTTTTTTTTTCTAGAAGCATACGTGATTAAGATCATTACACATACACATACACAGAATTTTTTAAATCAAGTATAAATTCAGCTGGGTGTGTTAGCATACACTTACAATCTCAGCATCTCAGGAGACTGAGACAGGAGGATTGCAAGTTCGAGGTCAGTCTCAGCAACTTAGTGAGGCCCTAAAAAACTTAGTGAGACCATGTCTCAAAAAAAAAAAAAAAAAGGCAGGAGTTGGCGGGTAGGGATGTGGCTCAGTGTTTAAGTGCTCCTGGGTTCAATCTCCATTACCAAAAAAATTTTTAAAAAAACATGATTTCAAAGCAAAATATTAAACTGAAAGCATGCTTTAGCAAATATTATATAACAGTATAACTTAGGTTATGAGTTAAACGTATGAGTTTCAAGGCTGGTCACTCCTAAGTTCAAATCCTGGTTCTGCCAGTTATTAGCTACGTAATATTCCTCATGCTAAAAACTGGGATACTGTTGCCCATCTTAAAAGTTTACTTGGGGGGAATTAAATTTTCTTAAGTACAATGGTACGTACATGGTATACATAGTTTTGTCATTTTTTCTATAATTAAAACAGTATCATAGATGCTCAATTATTATTTTTTTTTTTTTGGTACAAGGGATTGAACTTAGGGGCACTCAATCACTGAGCCACATCATTAGCCCTATTTTGTATTTTATTTAGAGGCAGGGTCTCATTGAGTTGCTTAGTGCCTTTGCTTTTGCTGAGGCTTGCTTTGAATTCATGCCTCACCCTCCTAAGCTGCTGGGATCAATTATTAATTATTTTACTATCTACTCTAGTTGATTATGCACTTTTTGTCTACTTGTCATAAACCTTTTGTCAAAATACTTCTAGATATAAAGGCACAGAAATGTATCTAAACTTAACACGTGAAGATATAAAATATCTTCTCCACTGGGAAGCAAACATTTGACAAACTGAAAACTAACTAAAACTATTAGAATATAGTGGCCTTAAACTTAACTAACTCACTATAATTCTTTCCAAGTAGTTCTGATTTAAGTGAGGGGCAGGAGGGAGACCCTTCTTAGCCCGTTTTCAATCTCTTTCTCCAGTTTTTCTTAATTGTATTGCTTACTCTGAATACCACTATCAATTTTTAGTCTCTCATTAGACATTCTTTTTCTCACAAATAGCAAACCATCATTCCCTCAATCACATTCATTCAGAAACAATTACAGAGTATCTGTTAAGTACAAAGTACTCCTATTGTATAAAGACAGCTGGGGGGAAAAAACCTACCTACATATTCTCCCCAACTCCCCCATATGAATCACTTTTCTCCTAAACTCCATAATCTTACTTTATACTGGCCTTTAGACATGTCCGGACAGATAAGCCTATGTCTGTATTTGTCTATCTCTATATGTCTCTCTAAAAAAAGATTTCCTTTCTCTTGATATATTTTTAATGTCAGCCATATCACCAACCTTATATCCCCTTGAGTCAAATTATACTCTATTCTCTTGCCCTCAACCCATACCTCCATTCATCAAATATTACTTCTTATAATTATTAAAGTATTCTTTACAAATACACCTTTTATTCTTCATTTCAATTTCCATTCCTTATTTATTACTTTGATCACTGTAACAACCTCCTGAGATTCAAGTAGTGATAATCAAGTTTATACTTGATACATATTAATAGAAATTGTTTCTGTATTCCATACACTGTGACAAAAATTGTTAGAAAAACAAGTATCAAATCTAAAATTACTATTCCCATGCTAAAAATGAATATTATCTCTTAAAAATTAAAGCAAGTCCAGGTATCTTAACATATAAGATCTTCATCATCTAGTCTTAAGCCAGAATTCCATTTTGAATGTTCTCTGTAATTTTAACATTTTCTCTTTTTTACCTATTCTATGCATAAACTTAAGCTCCAGTCACAAACTATTTTCCAAATAAACCATGTTCTTTCCTCCATCTCTATTTTTTTTTTTTAGTTGTAGATGGACACAACACCTTTATTTTATTTGTTTATTTTTATGTGGTACTGGGGATCGAACCCAGAGCCTCACTCATGCTAGGCAAGTGTTCTACTACTGAGCCACAATCCTGGCTCTCCATCTCTTGACAGTCTCTTTCTTCTGCTTCTTAATCTTATCGCTCTGAAGACCCAGTTCTAATGCCACTTTCCCTAACTTCTGATGCAGTCTGTGCATAATAATGCTGAACCACAGAACATATTGTCATATACTAAGAATGCTGAAGTATCTTCTCTCTTACACAGAGATCTCCATAAAGGCAGTATATGTTTCTTATTCATTGGTATTACAAACATGTTGGCTGGTGTCAAATACAAAACAGGTTTTTGTTGAATGATGAATTCAGTATGGGAACAAATATCTATCTTACGAGAATTGTGTGTGTGTGTGTGTATGTGTGTGTGTGTGTATGTGTGTGTGTGTGTGTATATATAAACATTGATATTACAGTTTTTCTAATATTAATATTTAAACTGATCACATATTCTAATGTACATAAAGAATTGTATAATAGCAGTAATTAACCTGATTTAATCACTGAAAACATCATGATATTAAAATTAGTAAACCAAACAGACATATGTGATTCCACTGAAACAACAATACTTTTCAAATAATCTAAAACAATTTCTGTTTTTAAAAATGTAAAACTGAACCTTCCAATTTTTATTATTAGGAAATATTTAATTATTGACCTATATAGTATTCTGAAAGAGAAAGCAAATAGCACATTATATTCATATATTTTGAATAAAATATTTAATATATTTTGATATAATATCAAATTTTATGGTAATGCTTTTCTGACAACTGAACTTACAATTTCTTCTGGTATGTACTCTCCTTATGAAATACAGTTTTATAGTGGGTCAGAGAGTCATCAAGAATCATCAAACAGAGTTATCAGAAAGGGAACTGGATATTCTGATTGAACAAATTTAGTGAGCTACAATTATGTATAAATATTCTTTTGCATTCTAAAAATATCTTATTGAAAAAAATCTAGCTGATGATCTGCAACTTCCTCTCCCTAGGTTCTCTACTGGTCCTTTCTCTAGTTTTTGCTTCCAGGAATTCTAATGCTATAAAGACTATTAGTTAATGTTAATCTCATTGAAGAAAATTATTTTTTCCAATAAAGCCTTTGGTGACTTTCTCTTCATTTAGCTGAACTTTATTTGGTTTACTGACTTGATTTCTGATTTTATAGACTGTGTTGATCTCTCTTCAAAATTTTAATATTCAGCAGCGAGGTGTCTTATTCAGAAAACAAAGAAAAAAAATTATATGGCATTATCAAAGAGCCTACTGTATATTTATAGAACAGTACGGCTTTTTTTTTTTTTTAAACACCATGAGTTTAATTGTACTGTGTCACATTAAAGTTGTTTTAAAAAATTTTCCTTTCCATAACTATTGGTATATCATGAATAAACAGAAGTATGATTCCTTTTACCTTTGTATTCCAAGGTAAACAAAAATCAAATTACATAGATGCAGAGTGAATTAAAAAAAAAAAGGGGAAAAGTATAATAAAAAAGTATGGCAGTTTGTTTGAAAGGTTTCCAAAAATAAAATATTAAGCTTGTTGAAGTTATGAGGTAAAGAAAAGTGAATGCAATATGAACAGATGATATCTGAAAACTGATCCTTTTGCATTACCATTATGACGTGTTTCACCAAGAGGCTCAAGTTTTGGAAGTCTAGTGACTTTGGGGGTTCCCCAGCCAACTAAAGAAAAAGAAACACATTTAAAAACACTGTTAAACAAATTTTGGGGGGTCTGATAAGAGGATCTCTCCTTCCACAGGAAGTATAAATACCATTCAATATCAATTCAAATGTACTAAATGACACAATACTGAATATCTATAAACCCATTTTAAATGGCTTCTATTTCAAAATGTAATTAAAGTCTGCTAACATCTGCTTTAAGTTTTTATTCACCTTTCATTAAAAACAAACCTCTTAACCAACTTCGATAAGCTTTAGACTACCATTTGAATACCTAGCAGAGGCTAAAATAAATGTTTTCTTGTTAAATTGAATACTAAAAATGAATTTTAAACAAATTCTTAAAGAAAAATGTTACCATAACAAGCCTTGTGGCATGGCTGCAAGGACACTGCAAACATTTAGTTAGTCATCAGGTATTTATTGAGCACATATAGTAGATGAGGTACTATGTATTTAGTGCTAAAAAGTTGCTAACAATTATTGTGCAGTTATGTTCCAGTGCTTCTTTATGTGAATATAATATAAATTAATCCTGTGTATATGTTGGATTCAAACTAGGAAAACTCATACATCTAGGTAACTTTCAGGAAGAAAGGTCCAATTTTTTTAAAGATTTCATTAGCCATCTATTCATTAAACTTAAATTCCTCTTACAATCTGGGTAACTGATATTTTTAATACAGCTTGAACACACTCTAGGAATTATTAAGATTTTCTTGATAGTTTTTACCTTTTTTCTTTTATGAAAATGAATAATTAATTGACAGATTTTTGTACCATGAGAGTAGAGTCCTTTCTCACAAATTCACAAAATAATGAAAAACTATATAATTTCTTTTTCTTTCTTTCCTCCTTCCCCCTCTCCTCCATTGTTTAAAACAATATTTCTAAATTCAGTATCAGTATCAATTTACTCACCAGGAGGGGGAGGGGGAGGTGGTGTTGGACTCTTAGGAGCACAGTCATCGGTATTAACTGGTTCTACCCGGTGACTCCTTTTCATTCTCAGTTTCTTAGTTCTCTTTTTACTGTTATCTATAAGAATATAAACATGGAATTTTATTTATACTATTGGGGAAAAGTGAACTTCTATCATTGAAAAACATTAAACCCTTTGGGAAAAAGTAAACTTCTATAATAGAAAACAATGAATAAAAGGAGAATATTGATATTACAATAGAAACCTCATATTCAACTTCACAGAAATTGTTATCAATAACAAAATATGAACTTGCATTTAGTAAAAATAAATATTTAAAGTAATAGCTTATGGAACAAATATGACAAAATATCCAAAAGTCTACTTTAAATACTAAGAGAGGTTTTTAGAATATAAAAATACCTTCTCATTTCCAAAAGCAATTTATATTTCTTCCAAATGTCATATTAAACACATATGATTGTCTAGTTGTAGGAATTCCATAAAACTCAGAATGGCTAGTGGAAAGAGGAAAGATGTTGACTTTTCTCAGAGGAATAAGTAGAATGACTATAGGTATAAATAGTCCAAAAATAATGCTTTGAAATATGAGGAAAAAAATCCGAACCCAATCTAAATACATTACTCTTTAACACCTAAAGAATAAATATATGTAACCAAAATCAGTAGACCAGGCCGAATTAAATTTCTGTTCTTTCTACAATAAACAAACAAACAAATTACAGACTCATAAACACATAAAAACACCTTAAGGATATGATATATTGACGCTTAAATTTTAACAATGTAAAACCAGAGTGGCATAGTAATTAAAAATTCTGACCATCAAAGTTACTGAAATATTTTAAATAACAATTCCTAACTGCGAAATTACACACATTTTATAAAATGGGAATTATCTGAACATGAGAAATAGTCAAAATCTTTAAGGTTACAAAACAGAAAGAAGAACATCATATTTAAAAGGAAACTTTTTATTAATGTTAGTGTCCTTTGTGACATTTTACTCCAGATAGAAATAAAGTAATCTTTTTACTATTAAAGTTATAGGCTTAACAGATGGGCAAATGGAATGAGAGCTCTAAAAACATATGGTACTTTAGGATGGGCAGTAGTTCAGGTGATGGAAGAGGATAGAATGTGAAAATATGATTTGGACTGGGGTCTCAGCCCAGCCACCAATATGACATATGAAGTTTTTCAACCTCTCCAAGTCCCTAGTTTCCTACTTACATAGTGGGAGTTTCATACCCCAGTATTATTATGATAAATAACATAGGGCTGTGTTAACTCAAATAATCTGAAGTCATACTTTGAAAGCATAAAATGTGAATTATTATTATGGTTATGATTTATTATCTCAGATCTTCCTAAACTATAAAGTCATTTGCTAAATCACTTTTCTTCAATGTTATCAGTGTTAGCGTCCTTTTAAAAAACTGAGACCACTGTAATAAGTCTACCTTCATTTAATACTGTGCTGATAGAGTTATATGGATATGAAGATGACTAATCTCCCAAGTGATGACAAAAAGTACAACTTAAATCTAACATTTTTAATCAAAGAAAACATGCATGTTAGTTACTCTGCACTTCAAGAACTGAGAATTTATTTTGATAAACCCTATATACTTTTAAAAATTCTTACATATATCATCTTCTAAGAAGTGTCTGTTCAGATCCTTGGCCCATTTATTGATTGGGTTATTTGTGGGTTTTTTGGTGCTTAGCTTTTTGATATCTTTATATACCCTAGAGATTAGTGCTCTATCCGATGTGTGAGGGGTAAAGATTTGCTCCCAAGATGTAGGCTCTCTATTCACCTCACAGATCATTTCTTTTGCTGAGAAGAAATTTTTTAGTTTGAGTCCATATCATTTATTGATTCTTGATTTTAATTCTTAAGCTAAAAGAGTCTTATTAAGGAAGTTGGGGGGCCTAATCCCACATGATGGAGATTAGGGTCTACTTTTTCTTCTATTAGACTCAGCGTCTCTGGTTTTATTCCTAAGTCCTTGATCCATTTTGAGTTGAGTTTTGTGCATGGTGAGAGATGGGAATTTGTAAGTTTCTTGCTGGTTTGTCTCAGGTTGAACCTTGACTGTTAGAAGGCCCCAATGATGTAATAACATGTAGATATTTAGCAACCACAGGAATTGGTAACCATTTCAATTCAGCAGAACTTTGTAGTTCTTTGAAAACTAAATATATGAAAAAATATTCATCATCACTAGCAATTAGAGAAATGCAAATCAAAACTAAGATTTCATCTCACTCTTGTCAGAATGGCAGCTATTATGAAGACAAACAACAATGAGTATTGGCAAGGATGTGGGGGAAAAGGTACACTCATACACTGCTGGTGGGACTGCAAATTGGTACAGACAATATGGAAAGCAGTATGGAGATTTCTTGGAAAACTGGGAATGGAACCACCATTTGACCCAGCTATCCATCTCCTCGGTCTATACCCAAAGAACTTAAAATCAGCATAATAGAGGAACACAGCCACATCAATGTTTATAGCAACACAATTCACAATAGCTAAACTGTGGAACCAACCTAGATGCCCTTCAATAATAGATAAATGGATTAAAAAATGTGGCATATATACACAATGGAATATTACTCAGCAATGAAAGAATAAAATCATGGCATTTGGAGGTAAATGGATGGAGTTAGAGAAGATAATCCTAAATGAAGTTAGACAATCCCAAAAAACCAAATGCTGAATGTTTTCTTTGATATAAGGAGGCTGATTCATAGTGGAATACGGAGCGGGAGCATGGGAGGAATAGACAAACTCTAGATAGGACAGAGGGATTGAAAGAAAGGGAGGGGGCATGGGGTTAGAAATGATGGTGGAATGTGAGGATCATTATTATCCAAAGTACTTGTATGAAGACATGAATTGGTGTGAATATACTTTTATTCAACCAGAGATATGAAAAATTATTCCCTAGATGTGTAAGATTTGGAATGCATTCCTCTGTCATATATAAATAAAAAACAAAAAGAAAAAAGTGAAAACAAAAATTCTTACATATAATAAAACCAGACCTGTAACTAGGAATAGCAAGGGAACAGTAGTAACTATTGGGTATCTCCCAATTGGCAGACATTGTGGAAGAACATTATAGTTATTTTATAAGTAACTATAAAAGCCTTGTCAATAAAAATGATACTCATTCCCATATTAGAAAAGAAGAAATTAAGTCTGGAGAATATTACATAACCTAACATATACCTAATAGATGGGAAAGTCAGGGTTCCCTCTCAGGTTGCTTGATTCCAAATACAGGCTCTTTCTCTATGACAATGAGAGACATGAACTTTCTGTTCAATCACATCACCAATTAGAAAAAGCAAAGTAATTATAAGTTAAAGATTTTGTATAACATTAAAATAGTGACAAATCTTTTTTTTCTTTTATACTAGGGATTGAGCTCAGGGCCTTACTCATACTAAGTATGAGCTCTACCGCTGACCTGTATCCATAGCCCCTGACAAGAGTTTTTAAAGACATTCTACCAATTATGTTTGTATCCTATAGAAATAGTCAGACTATAAAGGAAGTTATGTTGATTGAATCATTACAAGGCTTAAGAAACAAAACAAAAAAGCCTTAAAAAAGTTAAATAAATTCTATGGATTCCTGGCAACTATACTGTATCACAAACTTATGAAAGTAAAATTGAAAACTGAATTTTCTGCTGAATTCATTTTACGCTTTAAACTTTAAGATTACATTTTAAACTCAGCATGAAAACAACATGTTAGGAGAAGAAAAAAGTGGTTAATGATTAACTAAAAACCTGGAAAGTATCATACTACTGCATTTGGAGACAAAAAGTAAACTACATTTTTTTGTGAAAATAAATGATACAGGAAGTAAAGTATAAATAAGCTATATTTAAATGTATGAAAATTACTTTACATAACTAGATATACCTGATTCTGATGATCGATGATCTGTCTCATCTTCATTCTCCAATTGCTGTGTTAATGCCTCCTTATAATTTTCTACTATTTCAAGTTCACTGTGTTTTTGGCTACTGTCACCAGTCTGGTTTTCTGTTTGTATTTGCTCATGCTCCATTTTATGTTTCAGGGGGCAACCATCACTCTCTTTCTCCATCGTTTGCTTCTTTTTCTCTTTTTCAAGTTTTTTTTCATTCTAACAAAAATGAAATATATTATCTTTATTATAATGGTTATATTTTATCTTAAAACAATTTTAAAGATCAAATTGATTAAAAGTATTTTATAATTTCAACAGTTTTTTGATACTTTCATTATAATTATTTGTTAAGTATATTAAAAGATGATAACTGCTAAATACTAAATAAATGCTAAATTAAAAAATGCTAAATAAAAAGGTATAATGAAAGAAAATAAATGTTTACATCACATAAGTTATTTAACTTATATCAGTGATTTCACAATCTGCAGATAGCACTATTTAGCGTATAATCATTAAGAGGCATTTTCCTCTGACTATTCCCACACATACAGACATACACCCTCCACAAACATATAAATGTGTGATTATCTCTCTATATATACATATTTATTTGTTGTTTAACCAACAACAAAAAATTCTTTTATTTAAGAATATTTCTATAGAAAAGAAACTAATAGAGAAGAGAAAGGGGATTAGAAGGAGGAGGAAGGGAGGATGAAAGGAAAGGGAAGATATTGGGGAATGAAATTAACCAAATTGTGGGCATATACAAATATGTCATAATGAATACATTGTTATGTGTAGTTATAATGCACCAATAAAAATTAATTTAAAAAACAGTATACATGTCTTTCGATGTCAATGAAGTGCTTAGAATAGTGCCTCACATTATAAATGCTATGTGTTAGCTGCTATTATTTTCATCAATTACATTAATATTCAAAATGGTTATATCATAGAAATCATTGTATAAGTTAAATAACTATGTGATATAACCATTATGATGTATAACCATTAACCGTATGAGTTATATGATATGATAAATTTATTTTTCCAATTCCGTTTCAATGGATAAAGAAAGTATTTCTAAGTGTCATTATCATAAGTAAACTGTCCTATTCACCTTTTAAGTTAAATTACTAACAGAGCTGCTAGATAAGAGGGACTGCTGAATCAGAAGGTCTTTAACATTTTAAAATTTCACATACAATCACAAACTTCTCTTCTGAAAAACTGAATCAATTTATACACAAGGCAAAAGGATAGGAGAGTATTTCTCTAAAACATTTTAAATGCTGCATATCATCATCAACCTTTTATATCTCTGAAAAACTAATCAATAGATATTTTAGGGTTGTTTGATTTTGATTTAATTGAGTTTGGTTTGATTTTAATTTAAAACTTTTCATTACTAGGCAAGATGAACTATTAAATGCTCCTATTACCATTTTTTTTTCCTTTATGGTAATCCAATACTGACTTTCTATTAATTTTATAGTATTTTATAAGAATTCCTTTTTTTCCCCCTTGTCTTATCTGTCACTAGGACTAATCACATAGTTACACAGGACTATATGTCCTCTTTGCCATATTTTCATTAGGGTTGTTTGTTTTCATTTATGCCTTTTAACTTTCTATATCAATTATTACAAAATTGAATATAAGACCTATCCATTTTATACTTTATGTAAAATTTATTTGTGGCTTGATTATCTTGCTTTGAAAGTTTTTCATCCTCCAAGCATTTATAAATATTAAAATACACATTTAAGTTTTTTATATTTCTGGAATTTAATATGGTTTAGTAATTTCAATTTTTTTCCAAATGATTGTTCGGTTTTTCCCATATTCTCTCAGATTTGAAGTGTTATCATTTATCTTATATTTAGCTTATATACAATTAGGTTCATTACTATTTGTTCCACTGATCTGTGGTAAAATCAAAACTGTGGTAAAATTATACTAGTGCTTCTGTACAATGCAAACCTACTAAAGAAAAAATAAAGAAATGTACATAATAAAAAGGAGATTATAAGTACCTTTGTTTTCATTAATTCACTGAACATCTTCTTAAAATTATAACTTAAAAGCAGAATAACTATACTTTCCCCATACACTAATTAATTTACAGACTTGCTATATATATGTGGTATTTTATGCAATACACCAGTGTGATACAACACTGGTATTTTCACAGTAAAGATAATTTGAAAACTATAAGGTTGAGATAAGTATTAGAGCCTTCTAGGTAATTTTTCCCCATGGTAGTATAAAATAATTGGTCTTTATTTTATACGGTGAGCTTTACTACAGTGTAAATTAATGTTTCAAAGTGAAATGCAAATCTTGATATCCTTCTTCTCTACATATATATGCATATATATATAGATACAAATATAGATATAGATATAGTTACTAAGAATTGAATCCAGGGGTGTTTAACCATTCAAGCATATCCCCAACCCTTTTTACTTTTAATTTTGAGAGACAGTCTTGCTAAGTTGCTTAGGGCCTTGCTTGCCACATTGCTGAGACTGGTCTCAAACTTAAGATCCTCCTGCCTCAGCCTTCTGAGCTGCTGGAATTATAGGCATGCACCACCACACCTGGTTCTTTACCAATATTTTTAAAAGAACATAAAACGAAACTTGACAAACACAATATCTGATAGAAGGGAGACAAAATAATACTTTATATTCTTAATATATATTTACTAAGAATAACATGTTTAGGGTAAATGCAACAGGGTTAATAAAAGATTTAACTAACTTTCAAATATCTAAACAACTTAATCCATTAATTCCCCCAAGTTTTCAATTCTACATAGGAGGATAGGACATAATGAGTTAGAACCAAATATGTTATGATACCTACTATTTTACAAAATAAGGCAGTATCAAAACTATCCAATCATCTTACCTGTGGAGCTGCCTCGCTCCTAAGCAGCAGCCCCAAGGAGGAAACAATCATCCACCTCTCCAGATGAACACCTGTGTGGAAGAGGCTGTGATAGGGGAAGAGGAATGGCAAACACATTGGCAGAATCAGCAATCCTGCTTCCACATTAAGTTCTGAGTGAATGCCATAGGATTAGGAGGAGGTGGCTGATGAGAGTGATTAAAGTGGAGCCAATGTAAACTCTGGACCTCAGCAGAAGATGAAAACAAAGACACAGACACACACACACACACACACACACACACACAACCCCTTAACTTCTTAATATAAAATCTACAAGTTAATGTTTGAAAAACTTGCGATAATTAAAACTAAAATAAATGGTATACAGATATAGGAGAATCTGTTGCAGTTTTGAATATTGTTTGTTTTCTGGGAAAACAAAGTTGTCTGTAGTCTAACACATTATGAGCATCCAAGTATTATCATAGATGAAAACTGGGAATAAAATACTATAAATAAGAATAAATACATTGCTACTGTATGAAATAAATGACAAAAATAAATTTATCAACAATAGTAACTTTAAGCTGGGCACAGTGGTGCACACCTGTAATCTCAGTGGCTGTGGAGGCTGAGACAAGAGATCTGGAGTTCAAAGCCAGCCTCAGAAACAGTGAGGCGCTAAGCAACTCAGTGAGACCCTGTCTCTAAACAAAAACATGAAATAGGACTGGGGATGTGGCTCAGTGGTCGAGTACCCCTGAGTTCAATTCCTGGTATCAATAAATAAATAAAAATAGTAACTTTAATAATGGCCATATTCAAACATTATTTTCATTCTCATGTAATTTTACAATCAAATATTTCCCTTTCTGTGCTACATCAAAAGTAATCATTTGGGAGGGAGGAGGTAGTGGGGATTGAATCCAGACGTGCTCAACCACCAAGCCACATCTTCAGTCCTTTCTATTTATTATTTTGAGACAGGGTCTTGCTAAGTTGTTCAGAGTCTTGCTAAGTTGTTGAGGATAGTATCAAACTTGGAATCCTCCTGTCTTGGACTTCTGAGCTGCTGGGATTTATAGGCATACACCACCACACCTGGCTTCAAAAAAGTAAGGTGGGAGAGAATGGGAGGGAGAAGGGGAATTTCACGGAAGATGGAAGGAGAATCTCATCGTTATACAAAATATATGTATGATGATGTGAGGGGGAAAAAAAAAAGAAATGTGTCACGTTAGATTGGGTAGAGAGAGGCGATGGGAGGGGAGGGGAGGAAAAGGGGGGATAGGAAAGGCAGCAGAATAAATTAGACACTAGTATTGCTGTATGTATAACCAAGGTGATTCTGCAACCTGTACACTTGAAAAAATGAGATATTATACCCCATTTGATTCAAATGTATAATATGTCAAGATCATTGTATTGTCATGAGCAACTAATAAAAAGAAAAGTAATTTTTTAAATTTTCAAAATATTTTGGATGAATGCTAGGCAAGCATTTTGCCACTGAGCTATATCCATAATCTCAAAAAGTAAATTTGAAGAGAAAGAAAAACTAGTAAACCTTCTAATTGTATCTCGCCTTTAGTTTTGTTACAAAAAAATCTCTCTGGAGAAATTCTTCTACCTCCTTGCCTCCTGTCCCAACTTCCAACTTATAATTTAGGATATAAAAATTAACACTTGCCATCACTCATACCTCAATAATTACAGATGCTATTGGCTGGAAAGGGTTAACAGTAACTGGTTCTGGTTCCAACTCAGCCAGACCACTGGTTCCATCAGATTGCTCTCGTTCTCTTTGTTCTCTATTATTTGAAGGGAAAAAAAATAATAAAATTCATTTTGAAAAAGCACTGAGCCATGTTTAAGAAACCTATTCGAGATAGGTTAAAGATTATTTAAATTTAGTAATTTAAACATCGAGTTTTGTCTTTTAATTACTAAGAACATTTAAAAATTCCTCATGGAGGTAATAGGCCTCTATCCTCATGTAAAAATTTATCATTTGAATTTTAAAAGAAATTCTGACAAAAATGACATTGTATGTCTGATTTCTCAATGCTGAAGTACAATTTAATTATTTTTCCATGTGCAAAGGGAGTTTATTTGTTGATTCATTAATTATCCTCTAAAATAATTACTGTCTTTTTATTGATCAATAGCTTAAGTCTTTGATAACCTTCTTCTTAAGGGCTATGTCTTCTCTTGTTAAAAGTACTGGGAAAACACCAACACAATCTATGTTTTTATTTATGTAGAAACATGTTTCTTACAAGACAAAAAAAAAAAGTAGCACACCGCAAATTGATTCTATAGAAGTACATGACAAAAAAGTAACATTAAATGATAAATTTTGTTAAGTTGTACATCATATTTGAACTAGAAAACAACTATTGGTCTGCATAATAGTATGAGGCTATAAAAATAAGTTGTCCTTCAATAATCAGATTAAATAATTCCATATTAGGTACCAATGAAATATTACTATCTCTGAAATTTATCATTCATGTTGCCCAGTACTTGAAGAGTAATAAGTTACTAAAAGAAGTAGCCAAAGGCAGAAAAGTTAGAATTGTGGATCTTCAACCAGACTATCATATAGTATAGCAATTTGAATGTTCATTACTACAAAATTCATCAACTGTGTTCTATTATGGAAATATACATCTTTCAATCTGAATCTAGGAAAAAAGATTTGGAGATTTGTAATTTGCTTCTTTTGTGACCTTGGACTGGCTCTTTGAGCCTCAGTTTTCCCACCATTGTGGACAAAAATACCTCATAAGGATGTAAAGAGGATCAGATAAACTCATATATGTAAAAATATTCTGTAAATGAACACACTTATAGGACAGTCATTATTATTAATGTTACTGATTACTAGTAACAGATATATAGTATTAATATACGATTTTCATACCCAAAACAGCATATTTTTCAGAAACATTAGAAATCACAGTGTGAACCAATTAGACTGAAATTGGTGAAATAAAAAGTAAAAAAGATTGTTTTATTCATTCCTCTCTAAAGGCCAGTTTACTTTTAACTATGAAGTCTCAGCTTAACAGTTGAGGTCTAAGATCACAACAGGCATGGCTATGGAGAAAGCAGGAAAGGGGAATGACTATCAAAAATGCCTGTCATAACTTACATAAAATATCATTACAGAAAAGGTAAAAATTTTAGAAAAACGTTTTACATTAGATTTATTATATTAATTCAACTTTTTATTGTTGTTTTCATCTTCATTTCCTTTTCTTTTTTGCTACTGGGGTTTGAATACACAGGGCATCCCATATGCTATGCACATTCTCCACCAGTGAGCTCCACTCAGTGGAGGAAAGGCAACAGATATTTTAGAAAAATGTGACTGAATATTTTATTTTTATAAATATATACATAATTGATGTAATAGCTTTATTTCATGAAAATATACACTAGGATAAGAAAATACAAAGATTCTCACAGTGAGTACAACTTCATACGGGCAGTTGCCAAGATCTCTCATCCCATTCATTCTTTGATGTCAAGAGGCTAACAGATGAACTAATACTACTGAACACTTGGGGACAGAGTTATTTCTACAGATATTTTGTTCCTTTAAGTGCTATCTTTACATTAAAAGACAGATATCATCAGATGATATCTTTTACAATGTAAGGAAGCACCTCACAAAGGTAGTGGCTTCTTGTCTACTACGCTGCAACTATGTTAAACCATGTGGAAAGCCAATATTACTTAAGTTGATGGAAGGCAAATTTGAATCTTATAGTTCACTTAAAAATATTTTTCATTTTCCTCTTTTGTCCCCTTCTCTACCATGTAACAATACAACTTCTATTCAAATATTAGCACTTTCTTATAGCATTAAAATCACTATTCTGAAGTAGAATTTATACAATCTTTTTTTTAATAGAATTTGGTGGATTTAGTTTAAATGTTTTCCTTCAGATGGCATATTTTAAAAATAATTTTTAAATATATTTTAAAAACCTGAGATAACTTATTTTTCTGACAATATTACTGCTGAAGATCAGCTTTTGCTTGGGCTGAACAATACTCTATTAGTTCACCTTCCATCTCTTTTTAAATTTTATTTTATTTTTTGTACTGGGCATTGAAACTAGGGACACTCAACCACTGAGCCAAATCCCAACCCTTTTTTGCATTTTACCTAGAGATAGTGTCTCACTGAGATTGCTTAGCGCCTCACTTTTGTTGAGGCGGGCTTTGAATTTGCAATCATCCTGCCTCAGCCCCTCAAGCTGTCTCTTTCCATCTTTGCTGAGTCTAAAGTTTTCTTAATCTCGATACATGATGACATAGTGAGCCTGACAATTCTTTATTGTGGGAAACTGTCCTGTGCGTTACAAGACATTTAGCAGCACCCCTGGCCTCTATCCATTACATTTCAGCAGCACTTCCCCCTACTCCCCAGCTCTGGCAACTAAAAATGTCTCCAGACTGTGCCACAAGTTCTCTGAGAGGCAAAATTTCTCTACCTAATGAAAAGCACAGATTTAAAAGTACCAATAAAAAAATAAGAGATAAATTTTAAAGTCTGAGAAATAATGACTACATAAAAAGTACATTTACAACTAGTATAAAACCAACAGGAAAATTAAAAATCTATCATCCAAACTTGTGCAAAGATCCATAGAAATAGGCAATTAACTTAGTATTTTCTTTCACACAAAACAGATGAAACTAGAATAGACAAACTCACAAATTATTTTAAAAAGTGCCATGGTATTATATCTTCAAATATACCACAGTGTTAAATTATTTACCTTTCTTCTCGTAATTTTCGCACTCGCTCAGCCCTTTCTCGTTTCTCTTGTTCCTCAAGAGCTCGTTGTTCTGTTGTGTCTTTTTGGATGCGTTCATTTAAGGTATCAAAGTCTCTTGCAATGTTATGTAGTAGCCAATAAAGGCCTTTTTTAATGGACTTGTCAATTTTCTTTCCATATCCCAAGACTGCTGAACAAGGTTCCTAAAACAGAAATTATTTGATTCAAAGATTAAAATTAAAAGTTCTCCACATAAATCTATTCATAAACCATGACGTATAATTACTGGCATATCAAAATTAAGACATTTAAATTACTGATATGAAACACCTGCTAACTTAAAATAACTACTTTTTCAATGGTCAGTAACTTTCATATTACATAGAAGTTGAAAGACATTATAGATAATATTTGTAGGCTACAAAACTCCTGATGTCATTTTCAAAATTTATTATTAATCTCTTATATTTAAATAAGCTTTATATTTATACTTTTTCCTTCCCCTTTCTCAATATTTGTAGCACAATATATTGGTAAAGTCTACAGGTCCTGTCCTTTTTTTTTTTGGTGGGGTGGTGGTGGTACCAGAGATTGAGCTGAGGGGTGCTTAACCACTGAGCCACATCCACAGCCCTTTTTATCTTTTTATTTTGGGACAGGGTATTGCTAAGTTCCTTAGGGCCTTGCTAGGCTGGCTTTGAACTTGCAATTCCCTTGCCTCAGTCTCCCAAGCCCCTGATATTATAGGAATGTGCCGCCATGCCCAGCTAACAATATCTTAAAACAAAAGGCAAAAGTAAAAAATCTTTGAAATTATGAAGGATAATCTATAGAAGTCAGTAACAAGTAAATAGACTACAAATTTTATAATATGAGCTAATATCATTAGAACAGTGAGAGCATGATTTCCTTGAGGCAGGGGAACTCTTAAAGTTACTCTCTAATTTTAATCTATCACCTATACAAAACTAAGTTGCACTGAACAAAATTTAAACCGAAGGGGGGAAAAAAAACTTACTATCTGACAAAGGCATTTGTGCTCATTGACCAGTTTTTCCAGAGAGAGACATTCAATCACATCAGCTTCTCCTAAAGCCCCTTCCTTGTCTTGTTTATTTGCCAACCTAAGAATGACAAATGAAATGATTTTATAGCATATATAATCAGAGGGTGACTTAAAATATTTTGACCATTTCCTTCAATTCCAAAGTTTTAATCTACTGAATAATGAATAACCTGATTTTAGAAAGTATGGTAATATTAATTTCAACATTTTTGCTTATTATTGATGAAAAGAAGTCTGTAGGGACTGGCCTAAGAGAGGAAAATCAGATAAAGAAAAGTGTTCACATATCAAAAGCAATAAATTAACAGGCCAACAAGAAAGTTACAAAAGGAGAAAGAAGTGGGCTACTTTCCATATCCCTCAGTCAAAACTATGTCCTCATCCTCTTAAAATGAATTATATCATGATGTAAGTACACTTGTCTCATGTTCCTACAATTTAAAAATAAAAACAACCATGTTTTAAATGACAAATACTCAAGCTGTGCTTATAATATTTGAGTTCTGAACAGGTGCTTCATATGAGAAGAAATACAAAAGGCCAAAAATAAAAGAAAAAAATGTTCAACATCTCTAGCAATTAGAGAAATGAAAAGTAAAACTACACTGAGATTCCATCTCACTCCAGTTAGAATGGCAATTATTAAGAATACAAGTAATAATAAATGTTAATGAGGATGTGAAGAAAAAGGTTCACTCATACATTGCTGGTAGGACTTCAAACTGATGCAACCAATCTGGAAAGCAGTATGGAAATTCCTTAGAAAACTTAGAATGGAACCACAATTTGACCCAGTTATGCCACTCCTTGGTATATACCCAAAGAACTTAAAATCAGCACACTACAGTGAAAGAGCCACATCAATGTTAATAGCGGCTCAATTCAAAATAGCCAAGCTCTGGAACCAACCTAAGTGCTCTTCAACAGATGAATGGATAAAGAAAAAGGTATATATACACTATGGAATATTACTCAGCCATAAAGAATAATAAAATCATGGCATTGCTAATAAATGGATGAAGCTGGAAAATATTATGCTAAGTGAAATAAGCCAGTCCCAAAAAGCCAAAGGTCAAATGTTCTCTCTGATATGTGGATGCTAACCCACAACAAGGGAGGGTTGGGAGAGGAAGAATAGAAGTTCAATGGATTAGACAAAGGCAAATGAAGAGAAGGGTAAGGGGATGGGAACAGGAAAGACAGCAGAAAGAAATGGACATAACTTTCCTTTGCTCATAAATTAATATACAACCAGTGTAATTCCACAGTATGTACAACCATAAGAATGGGATTTTAATTGGAGTGGGTTATACTCCATATATGTAAAACATGTCAAAATGCACTCTATCTTACTTACTATCTAACAAAGGCACTTGTGCTCATTGATCAGTTTGTCACGTATATCAAAAACCAACAAATTTAAAAAAATAATAATAATATTTGAGTTCATCTATATTTCTGATGTGTGAATATGTCCATATAAATGTGCAATTTACTGGAGACTTATACTTCTAGTTACTTGGACCAGCACTGGGGATAAATATACACAACAAACACATTAAATTAGGGACAACTGGGGAAGAAATAAGTTCTTAAGAAAAATGGGAATCACACTGAGATACTATTTGTCTACATATATTTTTCTTGTCATTATTTCCTAAACAATAGTGTTACAACTATTTACACTGCATTTATGCTGCACTAAGCATTATAAGCAATCTAGAGGCCGTTTAAGTATATCGGAGGCTATACACAAATTATATGCAAATAATACGTTATTTTCTACAAGGGACTTGAGCATCTTTAGTTCTGGTATTATAGGGCAGTCCTGGAACCAATTTCCTTCCAATACTAAAAGACAATGTAATGCATATGACAGGGTTTTTTTTTCGGGGAGGGCAAAATGTAGTTTTTAATAAATACACTGAACAATATATCTAATGAAACTCTATGATCAATTTTAAAAAATTATCAATACTGAACCAACCTTGTTCATCTAAATACCTTCCACTTTTCCCTGTTCATTTTAAAATTACAATATATTACCATAATATCTTTGTTATACCTAACAAATTGATAGTAAATCTTTAATATTACCTCAATGCATTCAACATTCCCCAGTATCATTTTGTAAATGTTAAGTTCAAAATCAGATACAATCCATACACATAACTTATCAGTCTTAAGTGTTTTTTTAATATTATATTAACCCTCCCTTTCTTAAAGCTAGTATATTGCATAACTCCTCTTTTCCTACTATGTTATTTCCTTACAAAATAAAACAAATCATTTCTTTTTAGGCGTTCCCATGTTTTGGATTTAAGTAATACTTCCTCATGAGACCATTTAACACATATACTCTGTACTCCCCATATTTGGTAGTTAGATGTAGAGGCTAAACACTTTTTTTTTTTTTTTATTGGTGGTTCAAAACATTACAACTCTTTTGGCAAGCACAGGAGCCATACAGTATTACTTTTACTTTTTATATGCTACCATATTTTTATGATATTTAAATTGATCAGTAGATTTACAGTCTGATCCATTTAAAATAAAGTTCCGCATTGGCCTTTCATTTCAAATTTTACTAATGATCTTTGCTTGATTCTATTATTTTATACTAGTTTATAAAAAGACGACTTATTTAGTTCTATATTCTTCCTATAATTAATACCAGAATTTTCTATAAAAAAATTAGCTTTCAAAAACTACTTGTGACTCACTTAAATTCAATTCATAGAAAAAAATTAAGATCAACATCTGATCTTTTGCCTTTATTTCCTAATTTTAATAAAAATGGATTGTACCTGGTGGTACAATCAGTTCATACTGATTCTGTTTAACTTCAAATCAAATATTACCGAGTTTTCACTTAGCTTCTTAGATCTTGTATCTCTTTTTATATATGCTGACAACTACAAGTTCTAATGACATTGACATTAACTATTTGCTTCATCGTATATGAGTTTAAACTTAATAATTTCAGGGGCAGTAGCTTGGTGGTAGAGCGCTTGCGTAGCACATGTGAGGCACTGGGTGTAATTCTTAGAATCATATAAAAATAAATAAACTTAATAACTTTAATATTATTACTAAAAATAAAGATTACTAAATGAAGGTTAAGATATCTTCGTGGTTATTTCTGTCTCTAAGATATATCCCACTACAGATGCCACAAATATTGAGTTTTAAATACTTGAAATAAACCTTTTCTGTGTGGCTATGCCATCACTTAGTTATAGAGGTAGGTTCATTTGTTTCAGAGTAGTTTTACTTTATAAAGATAATTTGTTTTTTTTTAAATTAATTGTTAATGCATTTATATGGTTCAAAATTCAAAGTTACATAAACAAGTTTCAATCAGAAAGAAATATCATCCATATCTATACCTTCTCTTTCTCTATTCCTTTCTTTCTCTTATATGTAACTATTTTCATTAGTTTTTAGTTCATCCTCACATACTTTCATTCTGAAAATATAAATAAGTATATGGGAGAAATGGTATTTTAAAGAGCACAATTTGGACATGATGGATATTCATTGTCATTGACTGATTTTTGTCTGTGTGTATAATATTATATTCACCGTCTCTTTCTTAAAGCTAGTATACTGCATACACTTCTTTTGCACTGTGCTTTTTGTTTTAACTCAATATTAAATTCTAAATCTGCTCTGAGAAATAAAAAAAAAAATTATTTTGTATAGTTGCAAAATGCACCACTACATAAATATTCTGTCATTTATTCAGTTCATTCTGCACTGAAGGATATTTGTGTTTCACCATTTCATTTTTACAGAGTACTGTAAAAATTAGGTAGTTTCAGAGTCATTTCTTAATGAGAAACAAGATTCCAAGAGGTAGGACTTCTAAGTCAAAGAATAAAGATAAATGTTATTTTGATAACTGTTATATGAATGTTCTTCCTCTTGCCCTCAAACAACTAATGTAGGAGGGAAAAACAGGAAAGGTTTGGGAATTTGGTAGTGTCAGAAAAATTTTCATTTCTAAGTTTTCCTATAACTACTTCCTCCTGGTATTAGTTTGGAGTTGTTATATTTGTATAACAAATAAATGGCTTAATATTACTATACAGTTTTAGCTCTTCCATGTTAAAAGAAACATCTTGTAAAGTAAAAATAGCAATATAGTAAAATGAAAAGTAGTGTGAGCGGTTTAAAGACATGAGCTTTTTTTGTGGCTGTTCTCCTGAAATTCTATGATTCTATGAGCTATGTGCCCTCATGGGATTTCCTAAAATAGGATATAATTCAATAATTTTAAAGTAAATGGAACAAAAAGGTTTTATACCAAGTTTCTTTACACTCTTATTTATTCCTACTTAATTCCTTATTTTTTAATAGGCTTTTATATCTAAAGAAAAAAAAGTAAACTCCTTGCTTTTTTTTTTTTTTTGAGTAATATATTGTATAGATAATGTAGGACTTGAGTTTCAGAGACTGTGCAAAATACTCTATGTAGGCAGTAAAACAAGGACTTCCTGTTACAAGCTAGCTCCAATGAAAATCTTCCTTTAATCTAAAGAATAGGCGTCTAACTGGCAGAACCAGATTCTCCGGGTGTGAAGTAAGCAATTTGTTCTTCTCATTTCATATTAACAGCAAAAGTACAACTTTATCTCCAACTTATTTGATTTCATTATTTGGCTTTTAATTAACTATATGAGAAACATATAGAAATTAGTCTGTGACCTATAAGACAGAGATTTCAGTAATTTGATCAAACATTACATCATGTGATACTCAGATTTCCTTTCAAAGGCAGAACTCACAACAAGGAAGGTGGAAAAGCAACAAAAGGAACAAGACAGAAAGGTAAATAAATTGCGTTTTTTGTACTTTTTTGATGTGAGAAATCCAGTGACTAAAATCTAGTTATACTTTGACATTCAAAATTAGCTCAGCACATAGTTAAAACTGCTGTTTTGCTCAGATTCGGACAGGGCTAAAGATAGCTGATCTGTTCATGTATACTACTGAAAAATTGAATGTGATTTGAGTGTAGAGCTCTTTGTTAATCAACTTTAGAGGAAAGAGTTTTTAAAAATTCTTTAACAATTGACCTCTCATTTTGAAAACATTGGAAAGCCAGATTCTATAAAAACAAATCTAAAATTCTTTTATAGACTATAAACTAATCATGCTGTGCTTTAGAGAATATTTTCACATTAACATTCAAAAGAAAACTGCGCACAAATTGGACACATATGTATAACCTTTAAAGTTTGACATTATTTTCTATAGTTTTAATTATTTTTTTCATTGTTGTTTCCTAGAACATTCTGAAATTAATTTGAGGTAATGAGAATATTAAATTATTGTATAAAGATCACAGTGAAATATAAAATTAGTCAAATTTTAATGTTTTAGCTAGGATACTGCAAATATTTAAATCACAAAGGTTGTTAAAGTCAGCATTAATTGAATGCAAGCTATATCAAGAGGTAAGATACTTTCTATGTTTTCACAATTGTTGACATTAGAATTTTTTAAATATCCTATTTCCAAGTAAATATCCCAAGTAAAAATAATAATGACTTTTGTAAGTACTTTATGGGAAGATTTAAGAATTGGCCATGTAATATCTAAAGCAAGTTATCTTCAAGGCTGTGGAGTTTTAAGTTTAATATAAAAACCATTTTTATATGCATATAAGTTAATTAAATCAGTAAGTGAAAGTTTAAAAATTAAAAGCTTTAATAAACAAAGGGTCCTAATATTGTTAAACAAGTTTACAATTTATCTACACTAAGCAAAAGTAGAAAGCACTGAAAGACTGCATTGCAAAAAAAGTCAGATAATTCAAGCTTAGAGAATATATGCAATTTGCTTTTATTTTAGAAAAGTTTCAGTTTATTTTTAGAAACTGTCATCTAGCTCTTATTTAAGTAGCCAAAGAGGTTAATATTCCTATAAGATCTATTGCTTTAATCTTGAACTAGAGAAATGTTGCAAGTTGCACATAAAAAAGGAAAAGGATACTCTATTTACCTTGGACTAGGCACTGGATGTATTTCTTAAAGTATTTTATTTAACCACCATAGTAACTTTAGAAAGAAATGGCTTACTTTAAATATATTAAGTATCTATCCCAGGGCATATTTTTTTAAAGCACTAGGTAATTTGTATTTGTGTTTCTGTCTTTAAGAATTTGTACTATCTGTAATAGGATGAAAAAAGTTTTACTTGAATCACACAAGTTTACTTTTCTATTTCCCACAATAAATTGTCAAAGTTGGTTACCATATGTACTAATCATTGCTCTATTTTCAAACATGTTTAAAATCAAAGTCCATTACCACTAGTAAAATTCCAAAATGTATATCTATGTACTAAGCTAAACATTCTGAAAGATATTTCATATTTGGATACAATACTTCTACCATTAAGAAAGAAAATTTAAAGTACAGAAAAGATTGCACAAAATTAGCTTCAGCAATTAAATAATTTCACAACAATGAGCTTCATATTTTGAAACTATATGAACTCCATCTCCTCCAACTTTCAAATTCTAACATATCTGGATATCTCACTTTGCCTAATATTCTGATTTATAAAGGCATAAGGATCAATCAAATTGAAAATAATTATGCATATATAGTTAAAAGTATACAATTACTAGAAAATACAATTTATATACAGCATGTAAGTGCACCTAAGTACCTACATGAAGTCAATTTCTGCACAAATGAACAAAACTGGAAAAATTTTCTGAAGTGTTAACCTACAAAAATAATCAACTATGACTTAGTCGAGACACACAGACATTGAAATAATTCCCTTGTGTTCTAAACATACAGAAAGCATTGATATAACCCTAAGGAAAAGAAAGAAAGAAAGAAAGAAATTTAAAAACTACATCATTAAATTTTAAAGTAAGAAAGGAAACTTTCAGTACCAAAAATAAATAGGAAACACACTAATGACGAAATTAAAGGGTAGTAATTAAAACCAACTACACTATAAAAACTACAAAGCAAAATAAACAAAAAAATTCTAAATATGTGAGTTTCTAAATTAAAAATACCCATTAAATATTTAGCAGATAATTGTAAAGGAATCAGGTGGCAGATTCTTAAGGGCAAAAGAGAAAGCTAGAATAGGACATAGCAAAATTTTCTTTTTATTATTGGTTCTTTATAGTTGCACATAACATTTAGTTGTTCATTCTAACATAATTATAAAGGCATGGAATATAATTTGCTCTAATTCAATCCCCACTTAACTTCCCCATTCCTTTCCCTCTTCCCTCTCCTTGTTCCCTTCCCTTTACTGATCTTTCTCCTCTTGTAGTTTTCTTTTCTTTTTTTCCTAATTAGTGTCTTGTGGATGTACATGATGGTGAGATTCACTGTGACATATTCATATATGTAAAGTTAGGTAATATTCATTCTACTATTCTTCCCTTATACCATTCCTCTTCTCTCCCCCTGCATCCCCTTCCTCTATTCCACTCAACTTCTATTTTGAAAAAGAAATTAGTGCGCCTTCCTCTTTTCCTTTCTCCCCACTCCCTCTTATTTCGAACTACCTTCTGAAATTCAGAGAAAACATTCCACCTTTGACTTCCTGGGTCTGGGCATATTTCAGTATTTCACTTAGCATGACAGTCTCCAGAGTTCCATCCATTTACCTACAAATACTATAATTCTATTCTATTTTATGGCTGAGTAATACTCCATTGTGTATACATACCACATTTTTTAATTCATTCTTCTGTTGAGATGTACCTAGGTTGGTTCCACAGCTTAGCTATTGTGAATTGTGTTGAAATAAACATCAAGGTGATTTTAGATCTTTTGGGTTTCTACTAAGAAGTGGGATAGTAGGGTCATATGGTTGGTTCCATTCCTAGTTTTTGAGGAATCAACATACTGCTCTCCACAATCGATGCATTAATTTTCAGTCTCACCAACAATGTGTAAGTGTACGTTTTACTCATATCCTCATCACCAATTATTGTTATTTTTCTTCTTAATAATTGTCATCCTGATAGAGTAAGATGAAATCTCAATAAAAGTTTTTTTTTTTTAGAAATATATATATATATATTTTTAGGTGTAGATGGACACAACACAATGCCTTTATTTTTATGTGGTGCTGAGGATCGAACCTGGGTCCCGCCTGCATGAGGCAAGCGCTCTACCGCTGAGCCACAATCCCAGCCCTCAGTATAAGTTTTGATGTGCATTTTCCTAATTGACAGAGATATTGAAAAATTTTTCATATATTTGTGGGCCATCTGTATTTCTTCTTTTGAGAAGTGTCTGTTTAGTTCTTTTGCTCATTTTTAACTGGGTTTTGTGGGGGGGGGGGTTGTTTGTTTATTTTGTTTTTCGGTGCTAAGTTTTTGAGTTCTTTATAAATTCTGGATATTAATGTCCTGTCTGAAATGAAGGTGGCAAAAATCTTCTATTCTGTAAGCTCTCTTCATGTTCTTAATTGTTTCTTTTGCTGTGCAGATGCTTTCTAGTTTGATATTTATATTTGGTTTTATTTCTTGCATTTTAGGAGTCTTATTAATGAAGTTGTTTCCTGTGCCAACATGTTGGAATGTTGGGCCTACATTTTCTAGCAATTGCAGAGTTTCTGGTCAGTGATTCACTCTGAGTTGACCTTTGTGCAGGGTGAAAGATAAGTGTCAAGTTTCATTCTTCTACATATGGATATCCAGAATTTTCCAAGCTCCATTTGTTAATATTGCTATCTCTTCTACAATGTATGTTTTTGGCAACTTTGTCTAACATCAGGTAATTGTATTTATGTGGGTTTGTCTCTGTGTCTTCTATTCTATTCCATTGGTCTTCAAGTCTGTTTTGGTGCCAATACCATGTGGTATTTGTTATTAGAACTCTGCAGTATAATTTGAGGTCAGGTACTATGATGCCTCCCTCCAGCATCACTCTTTTTGCTCATGATTGCTTTGGCTCTTTTGGATCCTTATTTTTCCACATAAATTTATAACTGTTTTTTCTAGTTCTGTGAAGAATGTCATTAGTATTTTGAAGGGGACTGCACTGAGTCTGTGAAACACTTTTGGTAGTACGGCCATTTTGACAATATTAATTCTGCCTATCCAAGAAAAAGGGAGGTATCTCCATCTTCTAAGGTATCCTTCAATGTCTTTTTTCAGTGTTCTGTAGTTTCCATTGCAGAAGTCCTTCACCTCCTTCATTAGATTAATTCACAAGTACTTTTTGAGGTTACTGTGAACGCTTTTAGTTTTCTTTTCAACAGATTAATTATTAGAGTATAGGAAAGTTATTTACGTATGTCCATCTTATATTCTGCTACATTGCTAAATTTATCAACTCTAGAAGTCTTCTGGTGAAATCTTTGTGATCTTCTTAAAAATATAGAAGTATGTCATCAGCAAATAGAGATAACTTGCCTTTTTCTTTTCCTATTTTATCAGTTTAATTTCCTTCTCTTGACTGATTGCTCTAGTTAAAGTTTCAAGGACTATGTTGAATAGGAGTGGTGAGATTGGGCATCCTTGTCTTGTTTCAGTTTTTAGAGAAAATACTTTCAGTTTTTCTTCATTCAGTATGATATTGGCCTTGGGTTTGTCAGATATTCCCTTTACAATGTTGAGGTATATCCCTTCTCTCCCCAGTTTCTCTGGTGTTTTAAACATAAATGTGCACTGTACTTTGTAAAATGCTTTTTAGTTTGATAATCTATTGAGATAATCATATGATGCTTGTCCTAATACTCTTTTATGTGATGAACTTCACTTATTGATTTCTGTGTGCTGAACAAACCTTGAATTCATGGGATGAAACTTACTTGATCTTGGTGCACTATCTTTTTCAATATGCTTTTATATGTGGTTTGTGAATAGTTTATTAAGAATTTTTGCACTTATGTTAATCAAGGTTATTAATATGAAGTTTTCTTTCTTGATGTGTCTGTTTGGTTTTGGATGATACTGGCTTCAAAACTTGAGAAGAATATTCTTTGTGAGAGTTAAATTCACAGGAAATGTTTTGCTCAGGTGTAAAGATAGATTTTTTTTCAAATTTTCAGAAATGTAAGTTATAATAACATTTATGTTTTGAAAAGAAGCTATGGATATCCCCAAATAAAGGAATCAACCAAGAATAAAGATAAGAAACCAGTAATTGTTGAAGGAGAAGAAAGGAAAATTCCAACACAGCCAGTTTACGTTAGAATATTCCAGAAAACAATCTTCAAAAAACAAAATAATAAAATAAAAAGAATATTTGCTATATTTAAGATATCAAGTAGATTTTTCAGGTCAGTTCAGCTTATAATGAATTAGTGATACATATATAAAACAGGAAGCAACTGAAAAACTTAAAAACTTGAAGGAAAATACAAAAGTTATGTATTTATTGATCTGTGTGATGTTTACATGGATGTATTGACTTTGTGAAAAATCATCAAACTATCCATTTATGTTCCGGGCCCTTTCTGAATATGTCTAAATAGTTCAATAGCAAATTTTCTTAAAACAAAAATACCCATTTTCTATTTTTTTCCCAGTGATTCAGGCCTAAAAACAACTAAAAAAAAAAAAAAAAAAACAGTTGAGAAAGGCACTGTAACCATGATTCTTTATGTGATTGATATATAAATATTATTTGGGTGTTTATAATAATGTAAACATTATTTGATTAACCCAAAATTGTGGAACAACTATATTAAGAGGGGGAAACTGAAGAATGAGAGTTTAAAAGAAAGTTAGATCTACATTTTTTTTGTAGCAGAAACTCAATATAACATCTAAAATTTAAAAAGTAGAAATGCCTATATAGGCAAATTACCTAAAAAGAGGGAGTTTAAAAACAACATACAGGGCTGAGGTTGTGGCTCACAGGTAGAGCACTCGCCTAGCATGCGTGAGGCACTAGGGTCGATCCTCAGCACCACATAAAATAAAGATACTGTGACCACTTATAATTAAAAAATAAATAATTTAAAAAAACATACAGATAAGTAAATGAAAATGACTGCCTTTGGAAGTAGGGACTAGAAATAGGGTATGGTAGAGCAACTGGGTGTCAGATACGTATCTTTCTAAATTTAAAGTGCTTTGACTTTTTAAATTTTGTCCATGCATTAATTTGGAAAAAATAAATATCACATTTTACAACACGATATCTTAAAAACTTTCAGAAGGAATTTATTTTCAACATTCAATACAATAATTAGCAGAAAGAGCATCTAGATAAGAAAGTGATAAGTAACACTAAAACAAATGAACAATAGTTGAAAGCTATTCAAGATAAATCACTAAGCCAGATGCAGAGGCTCATGCCTACAATACCAGTGATTCAGGAGGCTGAGGCTAGAGGAACCCAACTTCAAGGCCAGCCTCAGCAACTTAGCAAAGCCTTAAACAACTTAGCAAGACCCATCTCAAAATTAAAAATAAAAAAGGGTAGGTAAGTAGCTCAGTTGTAAAGCCCCCCTGTGTTCAATCCCCAGTACCAAACAACAACAACACATAAATCAGTAAGCCAACCAACTTTAACATGGAACTTTAACATCAAATTTCTTCATACTATTGTTTTTCAGAGTATATAATAAATCATGGGTGTTAATTTTGCTTTCCAAAGCTGCCTCAAAAGAAAAAGTTTCCATAATTACTTCAGAACATTTTTAGGTGTCCTATAATATCTGTACCAGCATAACCACCAAATATTTGACAAAACACTGAGTAGCACTTACAAGACTGCTCCAGTAATCCAAGTGAGCAATAAGGCTGGCTTGGCTCAGGGAGATGGGAAGACATGTCTGGATTTCAACTCGGAACAAGTAGCTCTACACCCTTCAAAAGTCTTCTTAGTATATACTGAATCAAACCTCCTTCCATGCAGTTTCCACACACAGCCCTTTGGAATTATGCCAAGTAAATCTAATCTCTTTTGTAGACAGAGACTTTTATACTTTAGAAGATAGTTACAAATACTCCTTACATCTTTTCTTTCACAGGGAATTTCTTTCAATGATTCTTCATTTGGTATGATTTTGCTAATCTCATCCTTTTCACACTAGTTTGGAAATTTCCAATTTATGAGTTTTTACCTTAAAATATCTGCTCAGAACTTAATAAAGCCCCACTCCCCAATATGTATAAAGTCATTGGAACAGATATCTTTCTTAGTCTATGTAGACATTATACTATTATTTATAAAAATATAACTATTCTCTTAGTTCTGATAAAAAGCTTGAAATTAACTAAAATTTCTAATATTTTTTCATAGTCACCATTTTGAACCCAAGGGTACCATCAGAGAACTTCTTCTCTGGTTGATACTAATATTATGCATGGTCCAATGAAGCATTTATATTATCACATGGCATTTATTATCTTCAAAAATATAATGAAAGACATTAAATGCCATTCTAAAATGAAGATGCTCTGTGAAAATAAAGTTTTTTTTATAAATGAAGACTGGTTTTTTTTAGTCGCTTTATATGTAGTTATATCATGTTATACATGTGCATCAATTTGATTTCAATGGATAACTATCAGTACAGGATGTGATAAATGTCATACTCAAAATTATATATAAGTATATACTTTAAAAAGTATCAATTAAAAGAAAATGACAGATATTTTATTATAAGATATTATAGATAATCTTTTGCAAAGGAATGTTAATAAGAAATCAGGCTGGATGTGGTGGCGCATACCTGTAATCCCAGTGGCTCAGGAGGCTGAGGCAGGAGGATAGCAAATTCAAAGCTAGCCTCAGCAACTTAGCAAGGCCCTAAGCAATTTAGTGAGACCCTGTTTCAAAATAAAAAATATAAAAAAAGGCTGAGGATATGGCTAAGTACCTCGGGTTCCATCCCCAGTACCCCAAAAACAAAACAAAACAAAGAAAAATCACCATAATCAAACCAAGAAAATAATTTCATAAATATGCAATGGATAAGAAAACAAAGTTATATCATGTGTTAACCTAAAGGCCTCAGAAAACTTGAATTCACCATAATCTACCTACCTAAAACTCGAATGTAGAAACTGTCCTGTTTTTAACACTGTTTTTAACTTAATTATGCCTATTTTATCAAAATGAGTATATTTTTAACATTACATAGACCAGCTTAACTGTTTAAAATATCATAAGTAGTATGGGCACTTTGAAAGTCTAAAGGTTAATCCTAAAACTTGAAAGTAGAGCAAAAGCACCCTTTATTAAGAAAAATGATATCACATATTAGAATCTTGACACTGAAGTACTAATTTGGGGATAATTGTGTCTCCATCACTGCTTTCTCAGATACTAAACTCAACTAAATGAGATTCACAGAAGCCACACATTAGGCAAAATAATTCATAAATTATTTCATGTTATTTTTCCAATTTCAGTGATATTTATGTGAAAATTCTTATTAATTTTTCTAATTTTTAAATTAATTTTTAGAAAACTAGGATAATTCTTGCTGGGAGATAGACAGCTATGTCAAGTCAAATTTCATTTTAACATAATCATTCTTGCTTCTTAGCAGGAAAGGGAAGATGAAAGACCGACTTCAAGAACTAAAGCAAAAAACAAAGGAAATTGAACTTTACAGAGACAGTCATGTGTTGAGTACGGAAACAGAGGAAAAAGGGGTGTTTGTGCAGCAAGCTGTTATTTATGAGAGAGAGCCTGTAGCTGAGAGACACCTACATGAGATCCAAAAACTACAGGAGAATATTAACAATTTGGCAGATGATGTGCAAAGATTTGGACAGCAACAGAAAAGTCTGATGGCTTCAATGAGAAGGTTTAGCCTCCTTAAGAGAGAGTCTAGCATTACAAAGGAGATAAAAACCCAAGCAGAACACATTAACAGAGGTTTGGATGATTTAGTTAAAGAAGTTAAAAAGTCAGAGGTTGAAAATGGTCCATCGTCAGTCATCACAAGGATACTTAAATCTCAGTATGCTGCAATGTTCCGCCATTTTCAACAAACTATGTTTATATACAATGACACAATAGCTGCAAAGCAAGAGAAGTGCAAGGCATTTATTTTTTGTCAACTTGAAGTTGCTGGTAAAGAGGTACCTGAAGAAGAAGTAAATGATATGCTTCACCAAGGAAAATGGGAAGTTTTTAATGAAAGCTTACTCACAGAAATCAATATCACTAAAGCACAACTCTCAGAGATTGAACAAAGACATAAGGAACTTGTTAATTTGGAAAACCAAGTAAAGGATTTACGGGATCTTTTCATTCAGATATCTCTTTTAGTAGAGGAACAAGGAGAGAGCATCAATAATATTGAAATGATAGTAAATAGTACCAAAGATTATGTTAACAATACTAAAGAGAAATTTGGACTAGCAGTAAAATACAAAAAAAGAAATCCATGCAGGATACTGTGCTGTTGGTGCTGTCCATGCCGTGGCTCAAAATAAAGAAACTATTTTTAAAAATTTTCCATATTTAAGCTGAAGGATGTATTTCAGTGTCTGTTTTTCATTGTTTCATGGATCCACACTTTATCACTGTTAAGTCATAATTTTCCCCTTCAACACCCACTAGTATTACAGAGATTCCTGAAGTCAGTGACATAAATCTTTAAATTTTAATCATCTGAAAACAGTATGAATACCTTCAACTCACAGGTTAACAAAAAAAAAATCAGATGAATAAATTGAAGTTTCTGATCAGGTACTAAATTCTATTACACATTTTTCCTAACTTCTAATGCTTTAACAAGATGAATGTTCAATTAAGTGATGACTATGTAAGCAATACACTTGGCTATTTGAGACTATTTGGTAATTGAGAATTACATAAAACATGACATCAGAGGATGCGATAATAAAGCAAAATCAAGTAGATTTCACTTCAAATTTGGTGGTAGAAAAAAATGAGAGAATTCTTGTGTGACATTTTCCGTTTCCTTAAAGAACTATAAGGCAAAATTGTCAAATGAAAGCTCAGTAGGTTTAAGGAGTAACAGAAAGAAAGCGATAAGGAATAAAATAGTCATTTGGGATGGGAGGATAACAATCATTTTATAAAAGGTAGCAGAATAACCAGGCAGCATTTAGGGCTCAACTAAATGTATGGTCACAACTTTAATGTGATATCACCCAGTGCAGTCATGTTTTTAACCTATTGATGTTTTAGCTGCTTGGGTACCATCATAGAATGTAAAGATAATGGATCTATTTAATATGGCAGCTTTTCCAGATGTGTATAATGGAGGGAAAATGTGTTATGGTAGCTTAAGGTACTTGAAAAGGCAAAATTTATACATTTATCATAAATATCATAAATCATTTTAAAATTATGAATAAAGAAATTGAAGCACTTTCTACTATGTCAAATGTCAAGCATCATTGTAGAAAGATGTTTCATATCTCAGCTCAAATGTTTAAGAAATATTATAAAAGGAATAATTTAAAACAGGTAACAAACTCCACAGGTAATAGTTAAAACTAATATATCTTCTGCTCCTGTTAAACTTGCATTCAGAGCTTTCATGATATTTGTTTCTAATTATTCCTGGGCTAGGGTTGTGGCTCAGAGATGAGCGCTTGCCTAGCAACTGTGAGGCACTGGGTTTGATTCTCAGCACCACATGAAAATAAATAAATAAAGGTCCATTGATAACTGATATACACACACACAAACAAAAATAATTATTTCTAAACTGTTTATCATAAAAATCGAGAATATTTAGTACTATTTAATATTCAACAGTATTAGACAGATTCACAAATGTTTTTTTTTTCTGTTAGCACTGTATATTTGAACACAGTGCCTTTAAAGCAAGAGTTAAATACAGCAATTTTCATCACAAAGCAATGTGTCATATACAGTTTTTCCTTCTGTATTTTAAAACTATTACTATTATCCTAACCTAAGCAACAGAAACAATGATACTTAATTAGTTGTCAAACATTTTGTATATTTTATTTTTATACTTAATAGGCACTACAAGTAGTAGTTTTTTTCTTAATGTAACTATCTGAAAGGGATAAAATTCCTTGAAGGGGTTGAAGGCACAATGTTAGGAATCTATTGGTTCTGTAAGTATGGGAAGATCAAAATAATTAATAAAAATTGTTATGATCATAGGACTTATATTCATAATCACTAAACTATGCCATTTTCTGTGATCATAAGTTTTGTGTAGCTTAAATTCATATAACATTTTAAAAACAGCTCTCTCTTGAAGCCCAACATCAAGGTGAGGGACAGACAATCTGCATGGGTACTACAAGAATACAGGGAAGAAACTGTAATATCTCAGATCCACACTGCAAGAAAGAAAGACATATAAATGTCTTTCTTTCACAGCAAGTGCTTTTGAGCTCCTTTAGAGAGTCTTAAAAGGAACTACAGCGTGCATGCAGACAGGCTGATTTTGCTCCTTAACCTGATCAAAGACTGGAAAAAGCTAAAAACCTGTAATGTCCTCCCCCTACTTCCAGTGATATTCTAAGGCCACACACAGACAACATGAAAAAACAAGGGAGGAAGGTGCCCCAAACAAACCAGGATACTATAATAACAGAATCCATGGACAGTGAAGTTGATGAAATGTCAGAGAAGAAGTTCAGAAGGTTCATAATTAAAATGATCTGTGAATTAAAGAATGACCTAAGACCTAAATGAGCAAATACAGGCAAAAATTGATCACTCCAACAAAGAGATAAGAGAGAAAATACAGATAGCAAAAGATTACTTCAAGAAAGAGAGAGACTGAAAAAAAATAAATAAATAAAACAGAAATCCTTGAAATAAAGGATACAATCTCAGCACCACATACAAATACATAAATAAATAAAGGTCCATCAATAACTAATAAAAATATTTTTAAAAACTCAATAAAGCATAACCAACAGACTAGATCACTTGGAAGAAAGAATGTCAGATAATGAAGACAAAGCATACAATGTGGAAATTAAAGTTGATCACACAGTGAAGATAGTAAGAACAATGTAATGATGCAATTTAAAGAATTAGAAAAGCAAGAACAACCCAAACCCATAGTCAGTAGAAGGAAAGAAACAAAAAAGATCAGAGCAAAGATAAACAAAATACAAACCAAAAAAAAAAAAAAAGACAAAAAGTTGGCTTTTGAAAAGAAAAACAAAAGTAACAAACTTCTAGACTAAGAAAACGTGACCCAAATAAGTAAAATCAGAGATGAAAAAGAAGCGATTACAACTGATACCACAAACAGAAGATCATTAGGGACTATTATGAACCACCATCCACTAACAAACTGGAAAACTTTAAAGAAGTGAATAAATTTCCAGACACATATAACTTACCAAAATTGAACCATAAAGACATGGAAATCTGAACAGGCATTAACAAATAAAACAGTGAAATCTGTAATTAACATCTTCCCATAAAGAAAAAAAACAAGGATCAAATGGCTTCACTGCTTAATTTTATGACATTTTTAAAGGTACTAACATCATTTCTTCTCAAACCATTCTAAAGTATTGAAAGGGAGGAAATTTTTCTAAACTCATTGTACAAGTCCAACATTAACCTGATACCAGATGAGGAAAAATTCACAACATAAATAAGAGAAAAAGAAAAGTATAGACCAATATCCCTGATAAAGCCAGATGTAGACATTCTCAATAAAATACTAGTAATACAAATCCAAAATTACACAAAAAATTCTACACCACAATTTAGTGGAATTTATTTGAGAGATACAAAGATGGTTGGATATATGCAAATCAATAAACTTAACATATCACATTCACTAATGAAGGACAAAAGTCATATGATGATCTCAATAGATGCACAAAAAGCATTCAATAAGATTCAATAAACTTCATAAACCTCTCAAAAAATTAAGCATGGGCCAGGTGTGGTGGTGCATGCCTGTAATCCAGTCATTGGGAGGCCGAGGCAGGAGGATCATAAGTTCAAGGCCAGCCTCAGCAACTTAGTGAAGCCCTAAGCAACTTAGTAAGACCCTGTTTCAAAATTAAAAATTAAAAAAGGGCTTGGTTGTTAAATGCTCCTCAGTTCAATACCTGGTACAAAAAAACAAAACAAAACAAAAAAAATTAGGCATGGTAGGAATATATCTCAACACAATAAAGGCTATATATTAAAAACTTATAGACCTCTGTTCTGGCTGTACCCGATGCTGCACCTGTGTGGATCCCTGATGCTCAGCTCCCCATCTACCAACGCATGGCTCCTCTGGCCACCTCTAACCTGGGACACTGCAACTGCTGCATTAGGCCCCTCAACCTGGTAGCCTCCATCTTGGGACACTGGAAGGGCCTGAAGGCAGCAGCCTGCCACAGCACCACCAGCCGCATTGCTGCATCTCCAAACAGTCTGCCCAATGCCGTGGCACAAGCCCACCATCGCTGTCCCATCTCTGAAAGCAGTCGCCTCCATCTTGGTACACCACCACCATCTTGGGTTACCTCCACTGCCACCATTGCCATCGTTAGTTGGGGCAGCTTCCATCTTTGGACACTAGCAAGAGCCTGGAAGCCCAACATCAAGGTACCTGCAGGTTAGTCACCTCCACCATCACCACCAACTAGGACCATGGTTTCTTCCACCCAGGGACAACAACCAGGGCCTCATAGACCATCACCAAGGTCCCTATAGGCTTGGTTACACTTGAAGTCTCCCTGCTAGGTGTACTGATAGCTACCTGCTTCCTGTAGAGGCAGGAGAGAGCTTTGCATGGAGTCAGTAGGTTAGAAGAAGGTATGAAGGCTCAGTGCCAACCAGATTCCCTGGGCCAACTCAGGCAGCACTTGCTGAGACGTGACAACAGTCCGGTCCCCAACTCCCTCCATATACCATCATCTAATGATCACTAGTCCTGCCAGTTTGGCAATCAACAGGGACTTTCGGCTCCCCAATCCCCAGTCTTCCAACATCACCCCCTAGCCACCAACCCATCTCAACACTTGCAGCTATGTGGCTGGCCTGCAGCTCTCAATGCCTGGTCCTGATGTTCCAGATACAGAACAGCTTTCCACAACAGGGACACAGCCCTCAGGACCTCTGGAGAGAGAAGTTCCTGATTGGGTAGTCAAAAGGTCAGGGGCAAGAGAGAGACAATTTAAAGACTAAATTAGAGACCAGGAATTGTAGAATCCTCAGGCAAGACCAGGCTCCCACATCACATGAGTAGACCCAAGGAGATTCCTGGGGTGCGTTCTTCCAACAGGGACCGGCAACTGCTACACCTTGCCTCTAGGATTTCCATTTTCAAGACTAACCCTCACACCCTAGTAATATTCACCATCCAGAGGGTGGAGATACCAACAAAATCCAGACAACACCACCTATCAGATGAGAAGGGAAGCAGGGAACTCAAACAGAAACAATCATTCAATTTTCCTTTGAGATTTTTTTTTCTTTCTTGTCCCACCCTCACATCCCTAACATTTGTGAAACCAAGTACTTTTCATGCATCAGGCTACTGAGGACTGGGATGTCTGAATAGTATATTACAGTTTTGTTGTATTTTTTTAAAATTTCTACAGTTTTTCTTATTTTATTTAATCTTATTCTATCTTATTTTATTTTCATCTCTTTCTCTATATTTTCCTTCCATATATCTGTCTCCCTGGAGTGTCTTTCTTTTTTCCTGCTAACAGACAACTTCCTTTGATTCCTCTTTCATGCTTCCTATGATTTAATACCTCTACATTCTCACCTCCTACTTCAATAATATCTCATCCTCAGTAACATCCTCAACATCCAACCCTATCCCTGGTTCTCTCTTTGTCCATCATTAAAAAATGTAGACCCTTTCTCAAACCTACTGTTTATATTGTAGATAATAATCGAACACATCATTTCTGTTTATTGTGGCAAAACTATAAACGTCTTAAAGGAACTATGTGGTTAAAAGCTGCATATTGTTTTCACTGGGTTCTGTTAATATTGATCTGCCCCTTAAAGTCAAGGTATTGGAAACCTGCAGGGATACTCTAAGTCTATAGGGTAGAAACTGTAATACCTTGGATCTGCTCTACTTAGAGGGGAAGACACAAGAACAACATGAAAAAACAAGGGAAGAAAGTGACCCAAATAAACCAAGATGCTATAATAATAGAATCCATTGATAACACCGTAAAGGAAATGTCAGAGAAGGAGTTCAGAATATACATAATTAAAATGATCTGCAAAGTAAAGGATGATATAAGAGAGCAAACACAGGCAGCATAAGATTACTTCAATAAAGAGAGATTTTGGGGGGGGGGGACAAAAACAGACAGCAATCTTTGAAATGAAGGAAACAATAAACCAAATTAAAAACTTAATAGAAAACATCACCAACAGACTAGATTACTTGGAAGGCAGAAACTCAGGCAATGAAGAC